AAGGGCTTTGGGTTTTGGGGTCACGATGTGGAGTTTTAAACTTCGGAGTTTCGGGGTTTTAGGGTTTGGATTGTTTGGGGCTTAGGGTTTGTTTTGCAGAGTTTAGGCCTGGAGCCTGTGGCGGACAAGGGAGCTGTATATTTGTATGAATGTGCACCTACACACATACATCCAACTGCAGACATAACACAGCACACCATAGCATAGCAGAGCATAGCCTGGCGAGCATAGCGCAGAGTCATAGCATAGCGTAGCAATGAATGGCGAACATGGCACGGCATAGCACAGCAGAGCTTAGCCAGCAGACATATGTACGAAACATGAAACATATGGCGTGATATCACACGGCATTGTATGGCATGCGTGGCACGGCATAACGGAGCATGCGTATATGCACACATCAACACTACCTGCCTACCTACTTACCTACTTACCAAATTACGCACTTACCTACTTACATGCAGACAAACTTACATACATGCATACATGCACACGTACACACATACACACATACATACATACATACATACATACATACATACATACATACATACATACACACATACATACATACATACATACATACATGTTGGGGTGTAGGCATTCGGGACTCTGAGGCTGTGTAAGGACTCCCCTCAACCCCTGCATGTCCCTGAACCGTCAAATTCTGCATCCAGCCTTCTGCACAACCACCTTCGCTGCATCTTCCGGACGAAGTTTTTGGGGAAGCTTCTCCTTCGTGCCAGTGCTCGGGCTTATGGAAACCTGTTCCTGTTGTCCCTGCATACTTCCTCAATACAGTAGTGTTGACTGGGTTCAGGAACAGGTATCGTGTCAGGGGCCGGCACGGGATCGAGAGTTCATGCGGTTTGAGATGTGAGCTGCTCAAGGGTTGAGGGCTTCAAGGTTTGTAGATATGGTACCTTAGGGTTCAGGGCTTCAGGCTTTCAGGCTAGAAGCTGTAGGAGTGTTGGAAGGGTGCTAAGCTTCTTCTCCAAGAGGTTTTAGACTGTATATATGGCGTAGTGGTATCAGGATTTAGTCGCCAGAAGGGTATCAGTGTGCTAGGTTCAGCTTTCGTAAGGCTTTTGAGAGCTACCTTTGGTCGCTGCAGGTGCTGACCTGTGGGGTTTCTACGACATGCTTCTGTTGCTTGCCAAATTCACGGCTATGGTTCGTTTCGGGTTTAGGGTCTGAGGTTCGCGTCATTACCCCAGACCCGCATCACCCTAGCGTCATGCAGCGTGTCGTGCAGCACCCTCACACCATATATACATAATATATATATATATATATGTATATCTGTAAATACTTATATGTATATTTGTATGTATACATGTATATATATATATATGTATATATACAGAGCTCGCACGTCCTTGGAGAGAATGGGTGCCATGGCTCCAACCTGCGGCGCCTAAAAGATTGGAGCCGATCGAGGCCCGCTACGGGTCTAACGTCTTTCTGAAACCTTCAAGCCATAGCCTACTCCCCAACATGCACTGAAATCCGACATCATACTAGAGTCCCCTCTCAGACCTATAGAACTTGAAGCAACATGTACCCTCCAAAGATATGCCTTCGAAGGACACTAAACTTCTTAAGACCTGTGCCCTCAACCCCGAATCAGTTACCGCACTGATTTTCTACCGCGGCCACCTGCCCCCTGTGTGTGGCGTGTTACCACATCTGAGCCAAGAGACGGTAGCATGGACTTTGCGTTTAGGTTCATGTCAAACCCTAAACCCGAAACCCTAATCCCAAACAGGGTTTGGGATTTGGGGCTTAATCTAAAACCTTAAACACGAGACCCTAATCCCAAAAGTGGGTTTACGGTTTCAGGGAATCCCTTTCAAAGGCTGAGAAATAATTACTTCAGAACACCAGAGCTTAGGGGTTTCTTTCCCTAAGGGCCCATGTGCCCAACTAGTACATACTTTGGGCCGAATGTACATGTATATTATAGGGAGTACTTTAAGTCCAAGGTATATCTTATGTGCTCTTCATGGGTACATGGACCCTTAGGGTTTCGCCATCAACAGTCCCAAACATACGGTTTGAGGCTTCTTGAGCCTGGCGGGCACCCGAAACCTCAAACCTTAAAGTCACACACCCTAATAGACCACGTACCTATATCGCATACACTTAAGCCGTTTAAAGATCAAACGTGTTCCTAGGAAGCAGCGTTGGGGCCAAAACACATGCTATAACCCTAAGGGTCCATGTACCGAAGTAGGATATACTTTGGCCTTAAGTAGTCCCTATATAGGTACTTTGGGGCCAGAGTACATACTATGTAGGTACATGGACCCTTAGGGTAAGGGTACACGGCGCCTCAAGGCTATGCTGAGCTTCGGTGTTGGATGTCAACGTCTGTCGGCTCTTGTCAGCTTATCCCCGAAGTTATGCCCCAAAAGCCCTAGGGCTTCACAGGACTTAGACCTTCCGAACGGTATGATGTAAGTCACGCAAGAGCCTGACATGCATGAAGACATAATTTGTAAAACTAGGCTGCTTCTCAAAGAAGTTACATTGGGGTTTGGAGCTCTGTCTCCCTGACCTCTCCCTGTCTCCACTCCTGCCTCCTTCTTCTGTATCTCTCTTTCTCTCTCCTTGGCTCTCTGTCTCTCTGCGTCTCTTCGGATCCCCATCTTCCTCTTCCCTTGCCGCTCTCTCTCTCTCTCTCTCTCTCTCTCTCTCTCTCTCTCTCTCTCTCTCTCTATCTCACGGTCTATCTCTTCCTCTCTATCTCACTGTCTCTCTCTTTCTTTCCCTGTTGAATGCTGGAAGCTGATCGCACGTTTTGAAGCTTTTAGATCGAGGAGCCCTAAAAAGATAGGCTATTGGGCGTCCAGGCAAGCCCTAAAAAGATGCCTACCCGAAGACATAGCCCGGAACCCGAAAACACTAAATCTCTAAGCCCGGAACTCTAAACCCTTAAGCTCAGTGCCTTAACGACTAACATCCTCAGCCCTAATCTGAAAAAGAACCCTGGACTAGCAGAACCTCGGCTTCTCATATTGCGGTGGAAGGGGAGCGCCTGTTGGGGATCCAAGTGCCGCCACAAAGCCAATCGCAAACGGCGTGACTCCTCGCAGCTGTTGTGTCTGTGTGTGTGTGTGTGTGTGCCTGCAAGTCTTTGTGCTTAGGAACTAAGACTGTAGGATTTAGTGGAAGTTTTTTGTAAATTTGTGCTTACGAACTAAGACTGTCATCCTGCTTGAGCCCGAACTACAACCCGCAATTTTGAAAGGGCTCCCAGTTGGAGCAAGGATGTTCGGCAAGGTTGCAGTTTGGAGGTTCAGTGAATGCGCTGGGCTTAGGTAGGGATTAATCTTTGAGGCACCTCAACCTGCCTGAGACCCAAACCTCAACCGTAGAACCATTTGAAGCCTCAGTACTCCAAACCGTGAACCCGTGATCACTGGAGACTGTGGACGCCTGTGAAGCTTGTCGACACCTCCACATCGCAGCAAAAAGTCCTATACGGTCTAGGGTTTAGGGTATAAACACCCATGAAGTCTTAGAAGCCCTCTACGTTCCCAGTTTGTCAGATCAAAGCCGCAGCTTCTTCTTGCTCGGCATCCCGTCAGGGACCGACTCAATACCAGGACTTCGGTGGTTGTTGTTAGACTTGTGCTTCTCAAATTTCCACCGGGTTTCTACATGATTATGGAGAGCGTATTTGTAAGGGGGTGTTTGAGTTAAACGAACTTAAGTGACATGTTCTGGGCAGGTACAAGACCTTTACCAGTCAGCATTTTGGTAGATTAGGCGTCGGGGTTTAAATGCAAAAGATCAACAAACCTCAGCTGCTAAGCCTTCAGCACATGACAGAACTGGAGCCGAGGCAAAAGTCTCAGTTGAGTTCGGATTTGGCATTGCATCACATCTCCCCCTTCTTGATGCGAAAGATGGGATTTCTCAATCAGAGGTCTATGCTGCATTTAGGATTCAGGGCTTGGGAGAAACACGGGCGCGCGCGCACATTTCAACGATCGCAACGAAGCATTCATCTCACATTTTCTTCTGCCGAGCGAACCAAAAACCTTAAACCCTAGCCTCAACCCTATGCAAAGCTCCCAAATTCGACGGCTCCCAACCAAGAAACCTCTGACTAGTGAACCCAAGATTCTGAAGCCCTGAAGCGGGTTTAGGGCTTATAGTGTTTACCTGGACCCTAAAGAACCTACCTTTTTCGGCTTAGGGTTCCCTATTATGATTTCCTTATACCTTAAAAAAGGTAGGTTATTTGGGGTCAAGGTACACCCTGAACTTCTAAGCGTTAAGCCCTATCTGCTACCGCTGGCTCGTAACTCTAACTCTTTTGGGTTGAGGGAAGCTAGGTCCCTTGTTGTAAACACTTGGCCTCCTGGCATCATCTGAGGATTGTAGGATTATACAGAATAGGGCGTATATTGTACGCATAGTTATCAAGGAACTCGCAGGACTCGCATTTGTAATTGCTCAAGCTGGTCTACGAAACTAAGGACCTACCAGAAGCGTGGCTTCTCGGGCTTGTCCGGGCCGTTCCGGGTCAGTCAGCGAGGGCTAGTAGGGTTGAGGATTTAGGCGGTGGGGGTGTAGCAGTCTGGGTATCCGGTTTACTTAGCATAGGGCTCTACGAGGGCCCTATGCCAGCGTGCCTTAGCACTACATATGTCCCTGGAATCTCCTGGGGCAAGCAATCACTTGACCGAAGATAGTTCTGAACCATGTCGAGATGCACAGCCAAAGTAATCGCTACGCCCGACATCAGCTACCCCCAAACCAGAAACCGCCACTCCTAAATCCGAAGTTTAAACCTCAATAACACTTCTATGAGGCGATGGTGAAAAGCAACACCTTAACGGAACCCTGACAAGAAACCAGACTTAAGTAAAGCATAAATCCCTAAGACTCCAAATAGCCCCAAGCAGGTACTACCCACAGGCTTTAGACTGCAAAGTAAGTGCTAGTCAGTATAGTTGCACACTTGGAGTCTTAGGGGAATAGCCGGCTCAGAGCTCAAAGAGAGATCTTGCGAGGACCCAGTAGCGGCCACCGCTCTGCTCTTGAAGCGGCCTTTGCTGGCTTGAAGGTTTTTTCTTTTTAAGTAGGGGTTTGTACTAGGGGATAGGGTGTTTAGCGTGGCCTTTAGGATCTTTAGGGTGTGTAGGGTCTTCAGGGGTTTGAGCGTTTGAGGGTTTCGGAATTAACCCTACCGTTGAAGAGCTTGTTGTTGTCGCTCTTTTCTTCCGGGAGGGTGGTACAGCACTTTCTTCATTAGACTTGTTGTCTTTTTCTCGGGTGATCGGGAAATCTGTAACATCGGGCTATCATGTACGTTTGAGTCGGAAAGGGTGTTCTGAACCAAGGGGGTCGAGGACCCAGCCCAACCACTAAAGGCCCTGACCCTGAAAGCCTTCCAATAAGGGGTATTTGCGGCACACACGAACAGGGTTGTGTGTGCTTCGGATTTCATGATGAAGCTCTGAAAGTTGCCAAACAACAAGCCCAGCACTACTACTACTACTACTACTACTACTACTACTACTACTACTACTACCACTACTACTACTACTACTACTACTACTACTACTACTACTACTACTACTACTACTACTGCTGCTTACGACTACTAATGCTGCTGCTGCAATGGAGTTCAGCTTGAACACACGCCTTCCCCGGCCGAATCCTTGCACTACGAAGCAAGCAACTCAACGCAAAGCTTTTAGTATTTACTTAAGATCAAAGACGGGAAAATAACAAGAAAGGTCAACACCAACTTCTAGCACGAAATTTGGAACCACAAGCCCTATACAAGCACCCCCTTGGAACCACACACTACACACAAAGCAAAACAACAACACAACAAACCCAGACTGTTTTGCCACATAAAACTTTGAGTCACGGCTCTCGAAGTCAGCTCGGTAGCCGGTCTCCGCCGCCATCTGCTTGGCTGCCTGGAGCTTTGGTGAATGCATGCTCGCTTTTTTTTCGGGTTTAGGGCTTAGGGTTGTTTTTAACGTGTCATTTAATCCTGCCGCCTGAGATTCAAGGCCACCCTGCAATCTTGCGGTTTTCGGGGCCGGCAGTTGATACTATAGAAAAATCATAAGAGGGCAACCAGGATTCCAAAAGCTTTAACAGTACCATCACTCATACTAGTGATACTACGAGCCAGGAGGATGTGAACAGGTAGCACTCCAGGGACACTGCCGTGGCAACAGCCACACACGGACGTAGAACTGCAGGGTCTGCGAGCCAAAGCTCAGAATCTCACCCTGCGCTAAATCCGAGGCCCGGTCCCCCCAACTTCAAACCCTGTCGTACTGGTCATAAATTTACAAGCCCCAAGACTGTAACTTTTAATCTTTCATCAGTGCCTTGATCCTGAAGCCCTCAAGTGTGAAGCCTGGCATGTTAAAGGCCTACGATCAACCCTCAAACCCCCTTGACTTAAAAACCGGGTTGCAACGGTTTCACGCAGCCGTGTGAGGGAGCTTTCTCGCAAGTTGAGATAAACATCTCTACCATATCTTGAAAGAGCGCGTGTCTTGTGACTCGATTTAAGCTCCATAGTTTAGGGACGGGGTTTCGGGGTTATAGGGTTCAAGGGTCAGATTTTCATGGGTTAAATGGGGCTATGACGGGTCTGACTCAGGAAGTTCTGCTATCGAGAAGCCCGAAGTCGGGACTGTGGTCATACTTTAGGGTTTACTGTATAGGGTTTTTCAGCCTTCGAAAAAACAGAAGACATAACAATTAGATTTGCTCATGTGGGGTATATCGCAGTCTAGATATACCGGGACTTTAAGGAGACATCATTACTCTTCACTTCGGCCGCTACAGCGGCATAGGTTCGTCGCTTTGCGCTGGCGAAACCGTCTGATCCCAAACACTTACATTACCCTACAGCCCTGAACCTTCGACAAATCCCCGAAACACCTGTAAACCCTAGACCCAATAATCCTAAACCCTAAACCCCCCTGAAATATTCGAAAAAACGAACCCTAAACTCTAAACCCCCCCTACAATATTCTTAAAAAAACGAACCCTGAACCATAAATCCCCCTGCAATCGTCTTAAAAAGACGAAGCCCAAACCCTAAATCCACCGAACATATTCTTAAAAAACGAACCCTAAAAACACCAAGAAGCCTGCAGGATCAGAGGCGCGGCTTCAGTCTGCACCTGGCATTTCGGAAGCTTCGCAGGTGGCATCTGCAGAGTAAGTGGGGAAACCCTGGGCTTTTATTGGGCTTCCCTGAAAGGGGTCTATAAGGGTCCCTATAAGAAATCTATAATAAGGGTACCATGGCAATATAAGCTTGGGTCTTTATTAGGGTTCCTTATATGAGCCCTAATATATTGGGGTTACAGGGCCGGGTTTCTTAATCCGGTTCCTACATAACAGGGGCCCTTATAAATGAATAGGGTACCGCGAAAGAGTTCCTGGAACAGGTTCTATGTGGGCTTCAAGAAAGGCTATATATATATATATGAGATAGTGCTTAAGCTTTCAGATTAAGCTACAGCATACACAATTGAGTGCTCCACCACTTGCTTTCGTCTGGATCTACATGTACGCTGCGGAATTGTCGCTCGGAGGGTCGGGCTCAGCGATGTGTTGAATCTCAACATAACTAATACAGAGTCTGCTATGCGGACTGGATGATCGCGGCGGGGAATACTAACTTGTACACAGGTATACGGAAAGCCTAAGGAAGAGTATTTCTGCCTCTATAGGCTTCTAGCCCGAAACCCCAAACTCTATAGTCTAGTCTAGAAAGTATCCGTCTTGAATCTGTAAAGGAACCCTAAACTCCAAACCGTAAGACCCTAAGATGGACCCGTCTGCTAGTATATACTTTGGCCCCAAAGCACCTATATAGGGATTACTTGAAGGCCAGACTTTCCCCGCATTCCGAACCAGAGTTTTGGAGCTTAAGGCTTGGTGGTGCTTCCCGCAAGTAGGGTTACTGGCTTCATGTTATGTAGGGTTTCGGGTTATTTAACATTTCGGATTTAAGGCTTTGGGCAGTGGGTTTAAGGTTTATGGGTTTACGGCTTCAGGGCCCTGATGATGGCCGAGTAGCCACTTGAAGCCCAAAGGCTTCGATCGTAGTGTTGAATTAAAAGAAAAACTGGCAGCAGAGGAGCCAAAAATAATCTAGAACAGGATGTTGGGGAGTGTCCTAGTATAGTAGATTGCCGACACAAAGGGGAATCTTTGGCGACCGTGAATTCCACAAGGCTTTGCGCCAAAAGCTGGGATCCCGGCACGGGGCTTCGTGACCAGGGCCTTGTGTGCCCAGTGGACTGTTAAACGCTGTGGGGTTGAAGGGAACTTGGAGGTTCAGGGGTGGTTTTAAATGGGGTTATAAGTCCTCTAATATGCGCTATAGGTATAGTTACCCTACTCATAACCCTACTTATAACTACCCATGAACCTCCAAGAGGGAGGTGGTTGTTTTATGGTTGGTACTTAAAAGTCCCTAAAATAACCAGTTGCTGTACTAAGTCCCCCGACCCTCCAACTGGCTGTTTTCGGGCCAATGGGTGAACGGCTCCCGAAGAGGTCTGGAGGACAACTCATGGAGAACGGGGCAGAATCTCGAGGCAATCCCTGTGGCTCCAGGAGCGTTCTGTTGAGAAGACGGCATACTAGTACACAAACCCACTAAACCGGTACGAAAGAATTCAAGCGCCACGATATGGCAACTCGTACAATGAGGGAAATGGTCCCGAAAGCCAGCCAAACTGTGTCCCCGAATGCATCTGAGACCCGCGGCAAGAACTTTCAAGACGCGCTTGTCCATGAAGAAGGCAGCAAGGTCCTGGTTCGAAGGCTTCGCCTTAAAGCTTCCGGGGCTATAGGGTTTGGGGTTTAGTTTAGGGTTTAGTATATGGGGGCCATGAGGTTTAAGGCTGCAAAGGTCATGGTTTCAAGTGGGTGGAAGGTCGACCTGCAGCGCGTAGAACTGTGATGTCGGAGTCTGTACCCCGTCATTTTCTGCGTACCGTTCTGTGAACTGAACCTAGGAAAGTACGTCCTTGCGCTTGCAAGTGTACGCAAAGATATCCGTTCAAACCTACCTATATACACATATTCCTACACACATGCATCCTCTACAGCGGCTCAGGGTGTGGATTGGAGCATAGAGTTTGACGTACTCCTCCATTCGTGGCATACGACTGTTCTTGAAGGAGGGCTCTTGTTGCTAACCTCGTGCTATATGCCTTGCACATGTCATTACCACTCATGTGACTTCATGAAACTCCACTGAGCACTGAAACCTCCAAACCCGGCAAGCCCCTGACCCTGTGAATTCTCGCCACGTGGAGTTCAACCTACAGTAAGCCCAAACTCTAGAGCCCTGGAAGCCTTAAGTATAAGCCTTGAATCTGAATCCCTCGCTTCCAGAATCCAACAATCCAATATTTTGCAACATTCATGACTTGTTTCCAAGCCTGAACAGTCCAGAACCCCCTGCGCCCGGGTCCTGAATGTCCATGCGCACCTCCAGGGTCTAGGGAACTTCCAGCAAGTGTTCTACGAGGATTCCCTGAGCATCCTACAAGGATCCTGTTCGGGTTCTACAAGGTAGGGCATTTTCCGGATCTATGTATGCACGAATGTATGCATGCACGCAGAATGGGAAGCTGATAAGTATATATGTGCATGAGTGACCTCCAGGACCTTGGCTGCTTCGGCTTGATCTTAATGTTTGCAATTATGGTAATTAGGGTTACATAAACCCCATAAAGGTTAAAGGGTACCTATTCAGCTACTAAGGGAACTACTGGTAGTTCGCGACTTCACAGCCTCAGGGCTTCAAAGTTGCAGGTTTCGTGGAAATGCTCGTCCACGCGCCTGAATAGGTCGATGAGGTTTTGAGAAATGTCAGGGTAATGTAGGAACCTGATTAAGAAACCCCGGGCCTATAACCCCAAAATAGTAGGATTCATGTAAGGAACCCTAATAAAGGCCCAAGGTTTCTTAATCAGGCTCCTACATTATAGTATGTCCAGGAACTCTGAGGGATACAACTTCGAAGTCTCTCCAAACCCTCCACCCTAGACCAAACCTTCACTTTCCAGGGCGTGGAGTAGCCAAAGCTCTAAGGGTCCAAGTACTCCTTATCATAGGACTTTGGGGCCTCTTTCAGATACCAAAAACCCATAAATAAGGAGTATCTGGGCGTTTAGGATAAGTTACCCAAGCCCTAAGGGTCCAAGTACTCCTTATCATAGGACTTTTACCAAAAACCATAAATAAGGAGTATCTGGGCCCTTTAGGGAAGGTGCCTGGCCTCCGTGAGGCCAAGGCCACGGCAGCTGCCACCCACAAAGGCGCCGATCTTGGTTTCCAGATGAACACCCAAAAGGCGAAACTCTAAGCCCAAAGCCCTAAAGCCTAAATCCTAAACCCTCAACCCTAACCTCTATACCTAAGACCCCTGTAAACCCAAAAACTCCAATCCTATCACCTAAGGGTCAGTATTTGGAAGGGTAAGTCTCCAAGGTTCAAGCATGTTCGTTGCTGTTTATCCTTTTATCCTCGTACGAAGATGCTTGCAGTCAACTAAGGAAAGGAGGGCTGAGGGCCTCAACATTTAAGTGGTTTCCCGGGTCGGCGGTCTAAGAAGATTAGCACAGTAAGAAAGTACATGCATACTTGCATAGGTAAAGTTCATGTACCCGAGTGCGCATCAAATATGCTGAGCCTGTATACATACGAATGCAGTTGACTTCTACATCTGGATGTTTTATCGGTGTCGATCTGCCTCTCTCTGACTCTCTCTCTCAGTCCCTCTCTAATAGATGTACACGATACGTATATTGACACACACTGCATGTGCGAAAGCAGATGTACATTGAGGGCCACATGACCCTGCCAGCATGTGGCTCCTGCAGTCTTTCGCAAGATATCCTGCACAGATCTACCAGTCGGATCTAAGAGTCTACTGCACACACATGCTCGCAGCCGTAATCCCAAGATTCAGGCACGTTTTGTGAAAAAGGGAGCTTCCTGCATGTTTAGTGTGTAGGAGCTCGACCAGGTCCTATCAGCTTGGGTCAGTGAACAGGGACCCAGGTACCTAATAAGCATATGGGAGTTTGCGAAATTAGGGGTACCTTATTATGGGGTCCTGATAAAAAGGATCCTACTATTTAGGGTACTATATTAGGGTCCCCTATTTTCGGAAACTCTCATATAACCTCGCATCTATCCACATACACAACTAGCTACTGTCCGAAACCCAAATACCTAACTAGTTGGTCCCTTGGACCCTTAGAGCTAAGCCCCAAAACCCGAAAGCCAAAAGCCCAGTGTACAGGTCTGGGCCGCGCAAACATGATGTTCTAGCAGGCATACGGACTCTCGAACACAGCCTATGACTTGACAGATGCAAACCCTAGACCACAATCTTCAAATACCCTCCCGAAGTAGGTTATAGTAGATTCTGGTAAGTTAAGGCTGCCGTCAACCGCGTATGTAAGTATAGGCAGAGGCTGAGGGCACCGCACAAAGTCGGCTCCTCAGTGGCTCTCAGGGCTCGGGTTGAAAGCTCAAACCCCCAAGCTCGAAACCCTAAGGCTACTAAATATAAGCCGTAAACCCAAAGCTCCAAGCTTAAACCCTAAACCCTACAATCCTAAACCCGATAAGCCCTGAATCCTAAACCTTAAAAGCCTAAACCACAAGCCACAAGCCCTGAGCCCTAAAGCCCTAAAAACACCTAAGGGTCCATGTACCCAAATAGTATCTGCTTTGGCCCCAAACTACCTATACAGGGACTACTAACTACTTCAAGGCATATGTATATACTGTTTGGGTGAATGGACCCTCACGGAAGCCTAAAGGGCATAAACCCTATAGAACATCATAGAACCCTTATGGCACCCTTAAAGTCTTCAAGGTACCATTACAGGAACCTATTTGGGTAGATGGACCCTCAACCCTGCACCCCAAACCCCTAAACCCTAATCCCTAAACCCCTAAAAACCCTAAACCCGAAGCCCTAAGCCCTAAACCCTAAACCCTAAGCCCTTAACCCTAAGCCCCTAAACCCTAAGCCCTACTATAGAACCCTTATGGTACCCTTGAAGGAACCCTTAAAGGATTCTCAGGGGAACCCTAGCCCTAAACAGTCCCATTTCCTTTGAGCACTGTCGGACCAGGGCTTTGGGCTGAGACTCCCCGGCTCTTGGCGTGTGATAGCTTCGGGTTTAGGATGGGGTTCCTTTGAAGGGGTCTATACTTGCAGGGTCGGGGAACTTAGTAACTGGTTATTTTAGGGACTTTTAAGTACCATAACCCCAATCAGGGTCCCTTTTCGGGTACTTATAAGTCTACTTACTAACTACTTACTAAGTCCCTCGACCCCCCAAGTAAGGGATCTATATGGCTTACTTTAAGGCATAGGGCTTAGGGTTTAGGATTTAGGGTTTCGGGCTGTAGGGCTTAAGGCTTAAAGGGCTAAATTGGTTTTGGGCTTTAGGGTCTTAGGGTTCAGGAGTTTAGGATGTAGGAGTGTAGGGTTTAGCCATAAACATTTGGAAGTCTGATGTTCCCTAAACCCTAAACCCCTAAACGTTAAGTTGCTGATGAGCAAGCCTTGCAACCCTGGCTCGGCCTGGATATTGGAGTTCCCGAAAAGATGGGATCCTAATACATATCCCTAAGGCTCCATGTGCCCATATAGTGTATACTTAGGCCTTAAAGGGGTCCCTATATGGGGTCAAAGTGTATATATTTATACACACACATATTACATACATACATACATACATACATACCAGAGGACGGGCGTCTTTAGCCTGAGCCGAACACGTGCTCCATCAGTTGCTTGATGACCGGCGGTCGTTGTAGCGTGGCCTGGCGGAACTGCAAGCCCACGAGCTGGAGTGAGGCGTTGCCCTGTAGCGTCTTCAGCAGGTCGTACAGCTGGTTGGCCTCCGGGCACCGAAGGGCTATGTCCATCATGACCCGCACCGTCTGACCTTCCATCTCCGGCTCTAGGTTTTGGAGAATGTGGAATCGGGAGAGCGTGTCCCTGTGGGTCAGCTTCTGGATGTCCTTGAGGACTCGCAGCAGGGCCTCCTGCTTGAGGGTGCCCCGTGGCACATCTGCCTCCAAGGCTTTGAGCTCCGGATTCCATCGCTGGAACACCCCACTGCCCTTGATCGTCCACCCAACCGGATTCCTTGGCCTGCTTGATCTCGGCCTCCGTGATATTCTCCAGGGCGTTCCCCACAAACTCCATGAGGCTCCACATGGAGCCTTGGGGTGGGCCGGCAGACGTAACTGGCAAATTCTGCAACGTCACACCGGACATGCGGTTGGCTCTATCCTCGCTCAAAGGGTCCCGTGTGCTCTAGTAAGGATCCTACGGCTTCGTGTCTACATTCATACAAACATAAGCAGATACCTTCATACATACATCCCAACGCACATCCTTTCAGTTCAATCATGCAATCTTGCATTGACATGTCCTGCATTCCCTTATTTTCTGAAAATCCCGGCTAGCAATTTTAAAAAATAAACCGTCTGCATCCATGCTGAAACCACCTCAAACCCTCCCCTAAACTTTAAAACCTAAACCCTAAACCCTAACCCAGTCAGTAAATCCCAGGTCCTAAAGCAAAAACCCCGAACCAAAGTCCCGAAGCCCTAAACCCAAACCCTAAACCCTGAACCCATGCAGGGGTCATAATCTCTAGAAGCTGATAGAATCCCAGATACTTCCCCGTGAAGTACTGCGTGGAGCGGAAGGGCAGCACCTGCGGCTTTGCGATGCTAGTGAGGGCTTAGGGCTTAAAGGGCTTAGGATTAGTGTTCCCTTAAGGGTTCTATGAGGGATCTATAAGGGTTTAAGGCTGTAGGGTTTAGGCTTTGGGGCTTATGGGGTTTATGGGTTTATGGGGTTTTTAGGGATCATCGGGCTTATAGGGTTTAGGGCTTATTTGTGGGGTTTGAGATCAGGAGTTAAGTTCCGGGGGTTCGGGGCTAGGATTTAGGGTTTGGGGTCTAAGCCTGGGCTTTGTGTAGGATTCAGCTTTTCGCAGCAGGTTTGTAGAGGGTTCAGCTATCCTTGCAGCATTTTACAGGGTGCTTTGGTGCTTGTGGGACGAGACCCCCCTAAATCCATCGTATAGTTCAGGTCCCATATGTGGTTTCATTGCATGGAGACCAATGCATGTTCAGGCCACGTGGTCAGTTAGCGAGACAACCATGAAAACTATGGACAACAATTGCACTCGCAAGAACATACAGTAAAGGTTTACGGCCATGTCTGTTATGCACATTAAAGTAAGCATGCCGATGAAGAGCGTATAGAGGACTGTTTCATAGTAAAGGCTGTCGAGCGAGAGGGCGAGAAGTCGGCTAGTGCCCCATCCAGTCACGCAAGGACAGGATGAGAAAGGAGAGAGGGAGAGAGAGTGACCGAGTCAACAAATTAAGGCAAGCAGATGGATGCCGACAGACAGACGCAGATCAAGACAAAGCGACACAGCCTCAAGAAGATAGCAAGGCAAGTGTTCTGGGGGAGAGCACTGGGTGGGATTGTTGCATTTGCTCGTAGATTGCTGCGAAGGATTTAATTAACCCCCAACCCAGCTTAAACTCGAAGAAAGAGTGTATCTGCAAGTAGCCCGACCCCTATAATTACTGAACACTGAACCCCGAAATCGAAAGTCCCGACACCTTAAAGCTCAAGACCCTGAAGCCCTCAACCAACAACCGAAATCCTAGAACCCCAAATACTTGGTTATTGTTTTAGGCCCCTGTATTAAGCCCGATCCGCAGCCTGCTTTTCGATGACCTCACGATCCTGGCCATCGGATTTAGACTTCACCAGAAGTCTTCATTGCAGTTCCTGTTTTTGGTAAACCAAAACCTATATTATAGGATCCTAACCATGGGTTAACCAAAACAGGAACTACAATGGAGACTGTAGGTAGGGTTTGGGGCTTAGGTTTATTTAGAATACGCCTAGGTCGTAGAAATTGGTGTTTGGGGTTTACGGTTTCAAGTTCAAACACGTAGGGTCTGGATGCATTAAGGCCATGTTGAAAAAACATATGCTTTAGAGTTAAAGACTTCAAAGTATGGCATCTTGGCAACCAGTCGAACAGGCCGAAATCAGTTAGGGTTTAGGATGTTACGTTGACGGTTTTGCATCTTTTGTCTATATGTTCAGGTCCTCAGCCAAGGACGACGAGGATTTTGGAAATTTGTCACGCCCCGAACCACCCCACAAACCCTAAACTCGCAAAACTAAACCCCCCAAAACAACTATAGGATAGTGTGAGCGGGAACATGGGACTACTCAAACCGCGCGTTGCGGCCGCCGATCCGTGTGTGCTCGCAAGACAGCACGTGATCTCCCGGACCAAGCCGTTCCGCTCGATGAGGTTGGTTTCGTCCCACTAGAACCCAAGAGGCAGGAAACATCCGTACGCATGACCAGTGCCCGGGCATCGTTGAGCTCGTCTGCCAGAGTGAGCCGTTGCAGCAGCGTGCTGAATAAGAGGTCCGCCTTCGGCGCTCTCAACACCGCTTTTGACATCTCTGGTGCATTGCCAGTCACCAAGCCAGCCTCGCACCCCTGTGCCGCCAGGTTGAAGTGACGCACACCCCGAAACCCAAATCTACTTTCCACACCAGGCAAGGGGCTGGAAGGCATGGGCCCACAACTCAAACTACCATAACCTATGTTTTGTAAGTTCTGGGTATACACCCGAATATGGGCTCTATAGGGACCCTACAAAAAACACAGGTTTTGGTGGGAAGCATGTTGCAGACCCCCGACCCTGGACACCACAGCCGGGGAAAGGAGTGGTTTTCCAGCATGGAAATGCAGGGTTGTGCGTTTTGTTTTTTTTCGCGGTTTGTGGGGCTTGTAGGGTCTAGATTTAGGGTGTAGGGCAAATTCTCAATCTACCGCTCTGCTGCTGATACCTGAGTACACCCTGGTAGGAGACAACAACGGCGTGGTCTACGTCTTGCGTGCTTACATAAGCTTTCAGAGTCAAACTCATTTAGCAGGTCTTCCTCTGACCATATTATGGCTGAACAGTTTTGGTAGGATTGCAAAAAACCCGAAAGGTTACTGCATAATCATGGTTACGTACTCAGCTACCAGGTATGGCAGAGTCAGCTGCAACTGCAAGGTCCTGTTTGGTGAACCCCCCCGATAGATGTGGTAACTTACAGATCAGCACCCCCGGTATGGTAATTAAACCCTACGTCCTCTCTACTAGCATCCTGCTTGTCGTCATGTGGCCCTAAGCCTCTGGGTACAAAGATCCCCGCCATAGCCTTCTTTGAGACGGAGCCTTGTTGCAAACCGTTCTGCTCTTGTCATGCGATGGCCTCTTCTGATGCTAGTGTCAGCCATTGCCGCGCTATCTGGTCGCGCTCCTCGTTGCTGAAACTTTCAGAGGGGGCTTGACATCGGAGAGATCAAGGTGTAGCGAGTTAGAGTATTGGGCTTGGGGCTGAAGGGCTTTAGTGTGTACGGCTGCAGGGCTTGATTGAGTTCTATGGATTTGAAGGCCTGTTGAAATTTAGGCCTTCAGTGTCTAGGGTCGGAGGGCTCTTTAAGGTTAAGCAGTTCATCAAATCCTATACCAAGAACCCATCAAGGGTCAATACAGCCTAAACCCTAAATAAACTCTAAACCCTAACTAAACCCTAAATAAACCCTAAGCCCTAAATAAACCCTAAACCCTAAATAAACCCTAATAAACCCTGCTGGTTCCATGGCTGTAGACGTGTCAGGCCATGGGCGTCTTTAAGACTGTTGAGCCGAGCGGCTCGACATACCCGGGCTCAGGGTCACCGGGGTTTAGGGTTTTGGGGTTAAGGGCTTCTTAGGCTGGACCCTAAACCCTAAACCCTAGGCCCTAAACCCTGAGGTTTAGGGTTTTAGGGTGTTTGTTTATTTTTCTTTTTTACGGGCTTCGGGGTTTAGCCTAGCGCTTTAGGGTTTAGGTGCTCAGAGTCCAGGCCCAATTGCCGAAACAGCCGGAGCTAGCTAGTTGCCTTGTGGCACCATACATGTTACCCTAAGGGTCCAAAGGACTCAATAGTTAAGTACTCGGTTTTAGGATGGTAGTTATGTAGGTTAGGATTTTGGAAAGTATATGAGTGTTAAGTACTCGGACCCCTGGGGTTAAGCCCTAAGCGCTAAAAGACTTCCTAAATCTTGAACCCCCCAAACAAACCGTCCTGGTTGTCGACGAAGCGTATCTCATATTCTTCGCCGCCGCCTTTCAGGATTTAGGATGTGAGGGCAGTAGATATACCTGTTTGGGGTTCTTTTATATGATTCCTGAAAAAGGTGCAAACCAAAATTTGTTGAATAGAAGCGGTTGAACCGACTACAGTACATAGGTTAAGTGTAGTTCTCAATCAATGTTATGGGATACTCGGGGTGGGTGGGTGTTTATCAAAACCTTAAGAGCCAACCTTACTGTAACACTGCTCGATCCTGAGCTGCTGAACCGTAAACCCTGAACCCTCCATGTTCACCCGACGAGACGCCACTTGCCGAGCCCCAAACCCTGCATCCCCTAACATCTGCAATACGCCTCGCATGGGGACCTCAATACTTAGAACAGGGTTTTGGGGTATATCATACCATAGTTAAGTCGAACAAGGAATCATAAAGAATCCCCCAATGTTAAACCATGTAACAAAGGGGCCGCCTGAAAAAATCCTGAAGAGCAGGAGCCACACCTAAAGAACACTCCCTGTACTCCCGGAAAGGCTTTTACCCTACCCTAGAACGCTGATACCCCCCAAAAGCCTGAACCCTAACCTGCTATTTATGGTAACTGGAGCCCTGGGACGTAGCCCACATCCAGGCTTCTGCTCTTTTAGTGGTTCAATGCTGCCGGCCAAATCCAACTGGCGAGTGTCCAGGCCACTCGAACTGCAATTGTCTCCGATCTTCGGCAGTCTGGTTGCAAGCTGATAGATCCCGATGGGTGCAGAACTGGCGCGATTGACAAGCCTGCAGCACCTGGAATGATTTTATTGTCTCACTCTTGCACATGTGGCCAACACAACACACCACTACTGCTGCTGTGTTTGGGGCTCGTGCAGGTGATGTGCTTGTGTTAGGGTTTAGGGCTTAGGGCTTAATGTTTAGGGATTCTGAGGGTCGTAATTTTCATTGTAGGTTGTGTAGCAACAGTTACGTAGTATGTCAGGGAGTGATTAGGCGCTTGCACCTTTAGGGTATACACCTACGCAGCCTCTGTAAACCCATGACATAACACATAGCACCCACCTTGCAACCTTATGACACCACACTGTTTACCCCCACAATAAACGTCGCTTCTTGTAGGGGCAGAATATTTGAAATATCTATCAGTAAGGGTTGACGTCTTGGTTCGTCCCAACCTGAGGCTCTCTAATATCCCCCAAGCAAAACAAGAGTAAATCGACACCACTGGAAACCTAGAACCCGACAAACGCCAGAAGACACATCATTGAAACAATGTCAGCCCTACTTTCCTACCCCCTGATTTAAACAAACCCAAAAAGACAAGAACCCCCAAACAACCCTGAACCTGAAACCCGAACACCCAAAACCCCTAACCCCCAACCCCTAAACCCTAAATCCTGCTTTCCCACTAGTATAATATACCCACAAACCCTATTCTAACCATTAAGGCCCTTACATTAACTAGGCAACCCCCGTAATATCCCTGATAGTAACACTTATAGGGCCCCTCTTAAGAACCCTTTTTTTTAACACTCTCCCTAAACCCTAAACCCCTAAACTCCTAAATCCTAAAACCCCTAAACCCCTACACCCTGAACCCCCCAGTGATGCCTCCTTCGGAGACCTCGGTGGGCGGCGGCGGCAGGTCGACAGCCGCAGCTCGGAGCGGTTTCGGAGACCTTCGAAAAAGACTTGTTGGGCTGTGTAGGTGTAGAGTTTTAGACCAGTTTCGTGCTTGTGGTAGGTGTAGAGCTTTAGGCCAGTTTAGGGCGTATGACTGGTTTCGGAGATCTTCGAAAGGGATCTATAGGGGCTTATAGGGCTCCTTTAAAGGGATCTATATGGTTTAGGGTTTCGGAGACCTTCGAAAAAGAATTGCTGGGCTGTGTAGGTGCAGAGGTTTACATAGGGGTGGTTGTCAAAATTTAGGGTACCCAAAAAGGGACCATAATTTTGACAACCACCCAAAGGCCAGTTTTAAAGGGCTTATGGGTTTTGGGTGGGGGGGTCTGGTGGTTGCTAGATGCTGTTGGAGTTCGTATGCTCGTCGCTTCGGGGTTCAGGATCGGGAGAGCATATCAATCAAGGATTATGCTGCAAATTGCTCAACAAGAAGCGGTTACGGGCGGGTGCACGGCTCGCGCTTCCGAAAGTTTGCCGGTATCCGGTTTCAAGTCCTATCGTCTACACGATTGGTGCCGGCGCTTCCCGCAAAGCCAAGCTAACTGTAAATGTCCAATCCATTGGCCAACTTTTGGCCTCATACGTGTGGAAAGCATTTGCCCATACTGCTGAAACCACCTAATACATGGAGGGAAGTTGTCTTCGCCATGTTAATTTGCCCGGCCAGTACATGGAGGGAAGCATGGAGGGCATGCTCCTGAATCCTGCCACTACTTTTGAATAATTACTTTGTCCTGGCGCTCTCCTGGTGGTTTGTGGTCTTTTCTCCTTGCGGTCCCTGTGGTCTCCTGACGATTTGTGGTGGTCTGCCGGCTGTCTCCCGGTGGTTTCCTGGTGGTCGGCATGCTCGTCCTGGTCGTCGGCGTGATCGTCCTGATCGTCGCAGTCGTCCTGTTGGTCGTCATGGTGCTTCATCATTGTTTGGGGAGCTACGCTGGCATACTGTCTAAACAGGCCCTCCAGCTCTTTTGAAAAGGATTCCTGAATAAAGAAACAGAGGGAATGACGTCGCTTCCCACTTGTATCAGGCTACAGGGTAGACTTCTGTCTACTCAAACCTTCAGCTCCGAACGGACGACCTAGGTAATCCTAGCCACTGGTAGTCTGTACAAAAGTGACAGTATGCTGATAACAGTAATCACAACAGGTCATATGCATAACAAAAGCAATAGCAATAATAACAGTAAGTACAATAACATTAATCATCATAACCATAATAGTGACTGTAACAGCAATAAGAAGATTACCAGACATATCAGTAATAATGTTTCATTTTCAGGAGTCCACCTCCAGGTTGGCCGTCGAAAGCCGATGAAGCCTGGCGACAGGTTTAGAAAAGAGACCTCAACAATTAGAGTAGGATTTTCGGGGTATATTCTACTATGTAAGTATAATAAGGAGCCCCCCCAAACTCTATTCAGAATAGAGGCCACAACAATCAGAGTAGCTTAAGGGTCCAAGTAGTCCTTCTTTGTGGCTTTTGATACCTATAAAGACTACTTGGACCCTTACAGTAGGATTTTGGCGGGGCATCTATAGCATAAAATCAATTTGACAGCTCTGTAACTAGCTTTGGGTTGTGGGCTTGCAAATTAGAAAGGACGGTCGCTGGTGGTTTTAGATTTTAGATTGTTGAGTGATCAACGCTGTGCAATCCCACGGGTCCATGTACTCACGTAGACGCTGGCCTTAAAGTAGTCCATGTACTGTGGGGCCAAAGTATATACTACTTGGACACATGGACCTCTGGGGTCAGATTCCAGGATCTGATTCCTTGGGTTGGGATCCTGGGGTGTGTTTCCTGTGGGCAAACGTTCCCCTAAGGGTCCATGTTCTACATTGGCCTTAAAGTAGTCCCTATAAAGGTACTTTGGGGCCCATGTATCTCTATATGGGTACATGGACCCTTATGGTTCAGGTTGGATCAGGAAATAATCAAGTTAACGCAGACCCCTGGCCAACAAACCACGCTGATTACCTTGATCATCATAGATATTTAGGCGCAGTCTAGCATTCAGGCCGTGAAGGAGATCGTCTTCATTCATCAGGGATCTACATTAAAACATTACGTGTCAAGTGAAGACTTCGAGGGCTCTGACAACGCAAACACGGCATGATTGAGAGTAGGCTTCCGGGGTAGACTATAAGGGAATACGGTGACTGACTTCTTATTCAGGCCCCGGTATTCGACGTGTATCTGTACAGACAGAATTGATCCTACTTGGGGGTCGGGGGACTTAGTAAGTGGTTAGTAAGTAGACTTATAAGTACCCTAAAAGGGACCCTAATTGGGTTTATGGTACTTATAAGTACCCAAAATAACCAATTACTAAGTCCCCCGACCCTCCAAGTAACTACCAGGCCTGGCCCCACTGCTAGGAGGACGGCGGACAGCAGCAAAGCTCCCCGGCGGCACGCCATAGCAGACGACTTGACTCTAGCTCCTTAAAGGATAGAGTCTTCGTCAACACGAACATCGTGGACCCTAACTGTCTATCACAAACTCTATAAGCCTTGAACCACGGGCTTCTGGGGTTCGTGTTTAGAATACAGCCCTAAACCTTCAGACCTTAAAGCTTCGATCTGCGCATATGGAGCTGACTTACGAGGTCGGATTACGGGGCTTGAATATAGCGAAGAGGGATGCAAAGGGCTTTCGTGTGTCTTCTACAGTACATATAGAAAGGGCAATGAGAAAACACCATAGCGCATGTTTGCGGGCTCCTCTATCTTAAACCTAAACCCGTTGTCATGACCTCTCAGGCATGGCAGGCTTCATGTTGCAACTGGGTCTTCCTGCGACTCTCTTCCAGTCTTGGCTGCTGTATTTGCCACGTTCGCGCGGACTACATCGACCGTGACTCTTGAAGCCTGATCTACCAGTGCAGCCCTGAACCTACATGATTTGGGAGATTCGGAAAGTTAGGGGACCCTCATATAATACCCTAAATAGTAGGATCCTTATTATAAGGACCCAAAGTAAGGTACCCCTGATTTTCGGAAACTCCCATTTCGGCAGAAGATGCAGAAGCCTGGACTGTCCATCGCCCGACCCGAAGTGCTCCGATCCAGAGTTCAATATTTGAAGGATCATGGGACTTGGTAAGTAGGTTATAATTGGGGTTATAAGTCCCCTAAGTGGGGTTATCCTAATTATAACCTACTTATAACCTTACTTACTAAGTCCCATGAGCCTTTAAGTATCTGAAGTGTCATAAAAATCACCTGCGACCTTATTCAAACTACTCAGGCTGGTACAAATATACACAAAAAACTCTAATCTGACTTTCAAACTCAGGAAAGGAGGGTCTAGGGTTTGGGGCTTGGGTTGTGTTTCGAGGTCACCACATGCTCTGAGCACCAACCTAGAGGGTCCAAGCATCCCAAACTGTGGGAGCTTGGTTTCAAATACTCACTCTGAATAGGCTGGGCTTCACCCTAAACCCTAGACACCAACATGGAACCTTCATAGGAATCTTGTAGGAGCCTTACATGACACTTGCAGAACCTGTATGGAATCCTTATCGAATCCTTCTAGGACCCTATTCTTACCCTAACTAACAAGGGAGTTTCCGGGAATAGAGATCCTAATATGCTACCCTAAATAGTAGGATCCTGATTACAAGGACCTCAAAATGAGGCATCCCTAATTTTCGGAAACTCCGGCACATGTGCTTGTTTTTGTACCTTAGTTCCAGGGGCAGCAAGCGCTTCGCATTTGCAGCTGCAGCAGCGCCATGCCCTGAGGGTTTCATGGGGCTTTTTGAGGTCTTAGGGTCTTAGGGTTTAGGTCTTAGGGTCTAGGGTCTGGGGTTCAGGGTTTATGATCGGAGGGTTGAGGGTTTGGGTTCATGATCTCTGCATCTGGCTGTAAGAATGGCTATATACCGTCGTTTACTTGTACCGAAAGTCTTATCTTACAAGGGTGCTGCAGGAAGTTGTGACTACTCGCAAAATAGACAATGGTGAGTTTGAATGGTCTTGCACAGTTTCCGTGTTGTCTTACAACAGTGTTATAGCTACAAAGGTATGAAACTCTGGGCTTTTACCAAGGCTTGAGGGACAACATGGGTGTGTCTGTAAAGCCAGGGTTGCGGTGTATCCGAGACTCTACTCCCCTGTCGGGTCTTTACTTTGGATTTCTTGTTTTCCGAGACTCACTTGCATGTCTTGTAATATTACCCTTCGAGAAAAATCAGGGTTTCGATGGGGTCAAGGCCATAGGGTCTTAGGAAATCCTGAACCCTAAACTCCATAAACCCTAAAATCCCTGAACCCTAAACTCCATATCCTAATCCCTAATCCCCAAACCCTAAAATTCCTGAACCCTAAACTCCATATCCTAATCCCTAATCCCCAAACCCTAAAATCCCCGAACCCTAAACTCCATAAACCCTAAAATCCCTGAACCCTAAACTCCATATCCTAATCCCTAATCCCCAAACCCTAAAATCCCTGAACCCTAAACCCTAAACCCTGAACCCTAAACCCTAAAATCCCTGAACCCTACTAAACTCCATGAGCTTTAAACGGAAGTTCCGAGTTCCCCGGTTCTGGCAGTTTCCCGGCTCCGGGCGCCGGGTTCCGGGCGACTAGAGACGGGTTTAGGGTTTAGGGTTCAGGGTTTAGGGGTTCAGGGTTTTAGGGTTCAGGGTTTTAGGGTTTAGGGTTTTAGGGTTTAGGGTTTTAGGGTTTAGGGTTTTAGGGTTCAGGGTTTTAGGGTTCAGGGTTTTAGGGTTTAGGGTTTTAGGGTTCAGGGTTTTAGGGTTTAGGGTTTTAGGGTTCAGGGTTTTAGGGTTCAGGGTTTTAGGGTTCAGGGTTTTAGGGTTCAGGGTTTTAGGGTTTAGGGTTTTAGGGTTCAGGGTTTTAGGGTTTAGGGTTTTAGGGTTTAGGGGTTTAGGGGTTTAGGGTTTAGGGTTTTAGGTTTTAGGGGTTTGGGGTTCAGGGTTTTAGGGTTTAGGGTTTAGGGGTCAGGGTTTAGGGATATTATGATCTGCTCACTGTTCTGCTTCTACCTATATTCCGAGCAAACGCCGATCTTCGACAGTCGCTTGTGCTTTCTGCTGCGAGTCTTCAGCCTTTCCCGATGCTTGGTGGAACTCGACGACAGGTTTCGCCACGGTTGAAATGTGAGAGAATTGCAAATGCGTCACAGTCCGAACTCGTCAGGTTTATCTGCGTCTCTGGCTTCATGCTATTCATGCCGTACGTAGCTTGCCCGAAATGTAACCTTACTTACGTCTGCTGATCTTCTGAGTCAACACAACAGCGGCCAAACTAGCCACCGAAGTGTAAGGCTGCGGCTGAGGATTGAGGGATTGGGTATTGGGCTCAGGGTTGAGGTTCCGGACCTTTGCCGACAAGAACACTTCAATTAAGTTATCATCGAAACTCCAGGGCACTCTGCTTGAGAACCCCGTAGACCCCTAAACTCACCAAACAAGAGCGTCATGTCACAGCCCCCCGCCCACCCACACATAATTCAGACCTTGCTTAGACCCTTGAACCCCAACGGTTCACATTGAAAAAAACTGAAAAACTATCCTAGGGATCTAAGGACTCGTATATTAAGGCTTTTGGGCCAAACGACCATACTATACAAGGCTTTTGGGCTATTTTGATCCCCAGGGTATCATCTCGAACCCTCAAGCTCTAAGCCCAAAACCGCACGCCCCTGAAGTGCAAGCACGGAGCAACTTTCCCAGGATCACCGTACAGGGAGACCTGAACACCGATCATGTTGAAACTTACTCATGGGTGTCTCCGGAAAGGTTTTGCAGGGTCTGGAGGCGGGGTTTAGGTTAAAGGTGCCGGGATGTTTGTTTTTCACAAAGTCTTAGTACTTGAATGTTCAGGGTGTTCAGGGCAAACTATAGTTTGAGGAAACCGTATCTGAGGCCATGAACCAGATGCTTAAAACATGTAGCTGCCTTGCGCCTAGCCCTCCTTCTAAGTCTACTGACCCCTATGAAATACTTAACAAGGTTCTTGAGTAGCCCCTTTATGTATAATCAGGGTACATTTTTTTCAACGATGTGGTGTCAATGAAGGTGACCCAAAACAGAAACGGCAAAAAGCTACTACTCAGGAGAGTGGTTAACAGGCCGGGACCTATTCCTAGTATGGGTAGTTCTCTTAACTATAGGGTCCTTTTGGAGGTCCCTAACACAATACGGGATCCTTATGAAGAGGAGCCTGAAAGCGACCATAATTTAAAGGACTACCCATATAGAACTGATGGGAAGCATACGGAAAAAGCGGCCTAAACCCTAAACCCCAAACTCTACATAGGGCGAAGAAGAAGATCCGAGGATTGGGGAGAACCCAATTAATATCGGGGCGCTATTACTTGGAATAGGGGTTTCAGCAGATTCGTGATGGAATCAGGGCGCTGCTGATAAGTCCATGCCACTGCTGTCTTTGCGCCTGCTTCAAGCCTTCGACCGAAGCATGTGATGCAAAACAGACATCGCAGCATTTGCCTGCCTGGAACCTATACACTTTTCCCCAGCACTGGCATGCGTCTGGCATCCTCAGGTGTCCTGGCTCCACACAACCAGCTCTTCATAATTGGCCGCAGCAGGATTCCAGTCTGCCGTCCTGAAGTGATCCTTGGGCAGCACTGCCTCAGGAGAGCCGGAGATGTCCGGAGTCGCTGCAACTAGAGATGCTGCCCCCAGTGGAGCTTGCCAGATACATGCGAGGCGTAAACCATTAGCTCGTAATTCTGCTGAGGCAAGTTCGGCCTGTGAGCCTTTCAACACAGACCCCTTTCGTATGGACTGGCGCCTGCAAGCACGGAGCCCACATTGGGCCAGGGTCGGGCTGCACCAATGGAGGTCAAGCCTGTTAAGTGTACAGGAATCAAGAGGACTGTCATCTCCCGTGCGCCGGCTGCAGAAACCCCCTCACAGAGGAAGCCGGCCAGAACTGCTTCCGCTTGAAGTCCCATCATGCAAGGCTGCATCTTAAACTGCAGCTTGAAGCCGGCTACTTCCCAAAGCTACAGCCCTACTCCTAAACTACTAAACCGCAAACCCCTGAAGCCCGAAACTCTACACCTTAAACCTCTAAGCCTCAGCCCCAATGCAAAGCCATTACAGTCGTACCAAAACACTCAAACTCTCCAACCCAGCAGTCTGCAAGTCCCAGCATAAAACTTGGAATCCCAGGCCAGAATCCTCAATCCGACGCCTAAGCAAACAAAAGCGATGTTTCTTGCTTATAAGGTCTATAGGACTGAAAACCTAACCTAGGGGCCTTAACAAATAGAATAGGTTTTAAGGGGCCCACTATACTATGCACATAATGAGGAACCCCCTGCAAAAGTATTGGTAATTATTTAACAATTGGGCCCATATATCATAAAACCATATAGATCCCCTATAGAACCCTTTAAGGATCCCTTTAGTAGAATCCTAGTCTCGTAGAGGAAGGGGCAACCCCACGGGTAAGAAAGCCTGTCGCTGTCCAGGTGGATTCTCGCTGGCAACGTCCAACTGGGACGGGAGTTTGGGGTTTTAGGGTATTCTTGCAGCTTGCATCTTGCATCTCACTTTAGCCCCGGGGAAGAAAGAATGCTGAGCGTGGGTTGCGCGATACCTCTGACAGATGTTAGCAGCAGGTATTAGGGCTTTGGGCTTGGGGTTTTAAGGTTTACGGTCCCTAACCCTTAAACCCAAACCCTTTACCCAAAACCCTAATCAAGTCCCGTGACCCTTCAAGTAAACCTTCAGGTTTGGAGTTTGGGGCTCAAAGGCTCTGGGGCCTCGACTCTGGGATTCAGGTCTGGAGGCCAAAATGATTGAGTGCTTACCAGGAGCATGTAGCACTTCGGAGTTTTATAGGGCTGAATTAGGGTGTTTACAAGTGAGAACTTGGGATATGAAGAAGGCTAACTGCAGCGGTATTCAAGCATTAGGCCCTCAGTCTTTGCCCAAGCTTTAGAAAGCGCTGCGGCGTTTAGAGCAACAGTGCTTTTGGGGGTTTGCGTTTTGGAGATGCATAGGGGTATAGGGTTGCGATGGCTAAGAAGTCTGAGGTGTAGGCTGGTATTTGACATCACGGTCAGGCCCCCCGGAGTGTAGCGTGCCGGACGCTGTTTAGAAGCTTAGGGGTCCTTATCATAACAAGTCCACGATTTCAGGTCTCCGACTCAACGTTTGTATGAGGGTCCAATATTCACATAACGCTCCCATGAATGAGGTTCAAAGATAGCGTATCCTCGCTTTCCGTTGGGCGTTTGGCGGCCCATCACACCCTGGCATGGGCAATCCGGTTTTCTTTAACGCCTTTTCAATCTCAATTCAAGTCGAGGAATTCAGGTCTCTATTATAGGGGCTTTACTAATTAGAATAGGGTTTTGGGGCCCATTATACTATATTTATAATAAGGAACCCACCAAAATATTACTGTATTGGCAATTATTTAGGCTATATAGTAGATCTGGCGATCGGAAGCAAGTCCCTGAAAAGCAAGTTGTGCTTCGTGGCTAAGTTCTAGGATTTGCCGGGATCATGTATCCGAGAACTTGAAAGCTCAAGGGAGTTGTGCATACCGTCATGGGCACCTCAGCAAGGGCTAGTTGCAACTTGTTCTTCAAGGATTTCGTAAGATTAAACGATCTGCGCGTATAACTGCTAGGACCTCATGAGCTCACCAACATTTAACGTGATGTTGTGTAACCATGCATCTTCGCGGTACCTACCTATGAAAATTCAAGTACGGTGTTTTTAAAGTGTAACATTTATTTAGGAGGTTCGAAGCCGCCTGACGACGAAGTTTGAACATTGGTTCCTTACAGCCAGGGTCACTCCACACAATTATTATGCAAGAGACCTTGGACACGGAGCCACGAACGACATTGCTTGTTTGTGACCTTCAAGCAGAAAATCATAAATCCATGCCATATGTATGCATGTACGTACGTACGTATGTACGTGTGTGGGAAACCACAACGGCGCTGACTACTACCCCTGAAACGACAACCAGCCAATGGATCCTTTCACCAACCTAAACCCTAACCCCGGAATCCTAAAACCCGTATACCCTACTAACCCTCCTAAACCATATATCTTAAACCTCTAAACCACCCTACGCCCTTGTGCCCAATACCCTGAAACCCCAAAGCTCTAAACCCTAAAACCTTTATGCCGTTCAATCCAATACCCTGAAACCCTAAAGCTGTCACAGAGATCCGTTCGTCGCAGCCAAGTGGCGTGAATGGCACACCTTCGGGCAACTTCCGCGAGATGGTCTGCGCCAGGGAGCTGCGTAAGCCATTAAAGGAACCCTTAAGGGTTCCTTTCAGGCTTCCCTTAAGGGACCTTTTAGGATTCCTTTAAGGGTCGTTTAAGGGTTCCTTTTTTTAGGGGGGTCGGGGTTAAGGTTTAGGGCTTGCAGGATTTGGTCTACATTGTAGTACGGGAATACAAGTCGATTAGTCGCCACTGTCCCTAAACCACTAAACCTTAAACCTCTATAAAGTTCAGAACTTTACAAGCCACGAACTGTGCGCCCCAATCCGCATGGGAGCTTCAGGGATAGCAGCGACTCTGGATGATGCACGTGGAGCCGATTCGTGACTCAAGCATGGCCGTGTATGCTTGAGTCAGCTTTGTCAGCGGGGCGACGCTGAGAAAGTAACGTCCCGGTATGCAAACGGTGATATCGGGCATGAGCCCGTCCGACACTCCTTGGAACACATTCTCGGGGCCCTCCCCGCTGATCATAGCCCTTTGGCCACCCCGCGTCCCATTTTACAGGGCCGGGTCCCACACCTCGTGTAGGTTTTAAGAGATTAAATGGGGCCCATGCACGGCTTTAGACCATGGACTTGTTCTTAACATTGTAGTTCGAGTCATTTCCCAGACGGAGCGAGCAAGTGTAAGAGCATCGCACAAGTCCGGTGGCGGGCAGAACAGGAATAGACGTACTTTGCCGTGCAAAGTCAAGTGCCTCGTCTTACAAGCTTGCATTGCTTTCTTCAAAAAGGTCTTGATTCTGCTACAAGCTTATTTCGATTTCAAATCCCAAAAAATGGGCTGGAATTGTTGTGACAGCGCTCCTGCTCCAACTGTGGAGAAGACGGGCTGCGCCCAGGCAGCAAAATGCTCCTAAAATACTACCGCTTCTCCCCAGAATCGACATTGCTACATGATCTTCGGGCTTCCACGTTCGTTTCAGAGCTCATCCAAGGGGGGTTCAAGATGCTGGGCAAACACGAAGTCTAGCATCGAAGTTTCAACCTTGTCTAGCTTGTCGCTAGCATGTTCTAGCTTAGTCTACCATTTGTCCTACTAGACTTGCCAGCGCCGGCAGCAGCACATCAGGATGGCTCGGCCTGAGTGGCAAGTGTCCTGGCTCAGGGGATGCTGGCTGGCATTTGGCGCCCTCTCAGGTCAGCACCGATTTTGCGGCTTGCTGTAAGCAAGAAGCCACCCCTGTCTCAGGCTCTTTCTCTGCTGCACCAGCGCTCCACCCTGGCCTGAAGATGTCTCCAAAACCCACACCCTGCTTCAACATGGATCCTGGGATTCTCATTCTTATCATGCACACACCGCAACGTCACCGGGCGTATCGCAAAGCATACGACACACTGCACTCAACTCAACAGTCAATGCTGCAATGCTTCAAAACTTCAAAGGCCAAAGCACAACCGCATGTTTGGCACTCAGTACTTAGCCGCACTAACTTAGCACTGTGAAAACCTGTTCCGTGTTCGTCTGCCCGATGCTGGGCAGAAGCTCGGTGAAGTCCGGGAACTTCAGCAAATTAGATGTGCCTGCTGGTCCGTCTACACGGAGGTCTGTCAGGTCTTGCTCGGCCACTGTGAACCGGTAGGCCACCCCCCATCAATCACCAAAGATGTGCCGGCCTTGAAGTCAATGGGCTTCAGAGTGTCTGCATGCTCCTCTGTATAGAGTGTCCATGCATTGACCCCCACGAAGGGCTGCCCGTCGTCAAGCGGCGCAGCACTTTTTTTTCTGCGGCTAAACCTTTAACCTTTGCACTCTTCTTTGCAGCTGCGGATCTTCTTGGTTTGCCGTGCAACCTCACCCTCGGCCTCGTCAGGGCTCCTTTTTTATGATTTCTCTACATAAGTGAGTAGTTATTCAAGGCCCAGATGGGGGTCCAAAGGTGAACGGAAGACTTTCCGGGACAGTAGTATACTGACATGACATGCTACAGGTATATATCAAGTGACACATGGTTGCTGAGGCAAGGGACTTACTTTTAGCTACAACCAGGCTTGTTAAAAAGGGTCTAGGATGTGCGGGTTGAAGGGTAGAGGGTTCAGAATGTGAGGTAAAGGGTTTAGGGCCTAGGGAGCGAAAGAGTCTGAAAGACCGAACTGCGCAACCCTTGGATATACACTCAGCCGGGAACAGAAAGTCATGCCTAGTATGAGCTATCCAAACCGGTGGGAGGATCTAAAGCGAAAATTCTTGTATTAAAAGAAATTCCTATATGGTACCTTTCTGTAGTTAGAGTCCCAAATTCGGCAATTTGGGACCCTAACTTCTGAAGGGTACGTCATAGGAGCCGCTTTAAGGGATTTACGTTTTGGATTCTCCAGGAGGCGTGCTGAAACTCTGCGATAAGAAAGTTGTCATCATAATAGGAACAATAACGATTGTTGCTACTGTTCTTAATCTTCTTGTTATTATACTGCTATTACTTTTTTCGTAGCATTATTATTGAGTCTTATAATTCTTACTACTGGTATTACTATTAGTAGTATTGTGGCCTTGCGGCACCAAGAAGTCCTCCACAAGACGGCTCGGTAGCAAGAGCGCCAGGGGCAGAGGACCTGTTCACTCGCATAATCCAGGGGCCTTAAATGTTAGAATAGGGTTTTGGGCTCCTGCAAGGGCTCTTTAAAGGGTTCTATAGGGGATCTATAAGGTACTATAAGAATATGTCCTTGATGTTTAGAATAGGGTTCCTTGTTAAAGGGTCTTTGAGGGTTATTGTAAGGGATCTATATGGGTACTATAACGTGGGGGCCGTGGTGGTTGGACTAGGGTTCTGGGGCATATTACACTATACTCATAATAAGTAGCCTCCAGAATAGTAAAGGGAATCACTCAGGTCAATTACCCTAAGGGTCCATGTACCCAAATAGGATATACATTGGCCTTAAAGTAGTCCCTATACAGGAACTTTGGGGCCAAAGCATATACTATTTAGGTACATGGACCCTTAGGGTTAGGTACCTATATTATTACCCACATCCAGGCATCCCTCCCTCTAGGCCGGCCGGGGCCACGGTTTAGGGCTTTGGGCTTCAGGGTTTAGGGTGTGGGGTTTAGGGGTTTGGGGTTTTAGGGTTTAGGGTTTCTGATTGTAGCAAGCCAGGCCAGGAAGGCAGGCAGGCGTACGTGTAGACACCCAATGCCGACCCAAGTTAAGAGATATAGGCTAATCACGGAGCAGAAGTGCTCACGGTGCGAATTTTTGGGGGTAAAAACGAAATCCTTGCTAAAGTCTGAACCTTTGAAGAAGTCAGGAGCTCGATTCCCCAGAAGATCCAGCATCACCCGTCCACACTCCAAACCCTAAACTCTGCGCCTCGAATAGAAGCCTCTTAGTAGCTACGGTTGATGATATAAATCCTGCATGACCCATCATAAGGACTCTACCATAATTCCCATAGTTTAGGGTCCTTAAGGTAATGCAGGATTTATATCATCAACCGTAGTAGCTATGATCGGACATCAGACATCTGGAACCCGGACCGAAACCGGAGGCCACACACAGTGTCGGGTTTACTTACGGTTGAAGGTTTCAAGCAAACCCTAAACCCCAAACCCCAAACCCCCAAACCCCAGGTCCGGTACCCAAACATACCCTTACCTTAAGGACGAAAAGAGCCCTAAAAGGGCTTAGGGTTCATATACCTTACCCAAAGGGTCCAAGTATCATTATGGTCTATACTTGTAGGGTATCTTGGGGGTCTAAATATATACCATAATGATCCTAGGAGATGATGCTCTCTACCACTGCCCAGTCAACCTTGAACCATTCAGCATCCTGCTGATAGTTGTGCAAACATGGCAAAAGGATTGCCTTCAAGTGCTAAATTACAAAACCTGATACATCCATACCGATTCGCTTGCAAACCTTGGTTATTGGCTATATAGATTGCTTTACGCCCGTTCAACCATTTCCAGCAATGGGAGTTTACAAAAACAGGGGACCCCAATATAGTACCCCAAGTAGCAGGATCCTTATCATAAGGACCCCAAATAAGGTACCCCCGAATTTTCAGAAACTCCCAAATGCCTGGATGGTGATTTCCATTCGTCCGTTGCTCGCTTGGCACCGGCGTTGGGGGAGGCTGAGCTTCCTCAGGAGGTGCGCCAAGCCGGCAGCAAGCGGGGTTCCCAGGCTATCGAAGTTTCTCGTGGGCTAGACCGGGTTTTTACCAAGGGGGCTGTATAGTTTTTTGGGCCTTGCATGGGTTCTAATATTGGGTTTGGATCACACGGACCATCGCGAACAGAAACGCTGCCGACATTAAATTGCTGGTGTTGGTACGGCAATGTATCCGAATGTATCCTCTAAATCTGAAGCGGGCGCTTTTGAAGATGACGGGCTCTACTTGCTGCGAAGCTCAGGAGCTACACTTCTTCCCTATTCGAACCCTGCCTAGCTCAACACTGGGAGCATGAAACGACCTTACTCGACCCGGAAAACCCTGACCCAGCTGGGATGATAGAAAGCCTGTCAACCCCAGACCATTGGCCCTCCGTCAAAGAGACGAAGAGTCTACAGCAGACAACGACACCAAGCAGCATGCACACACTCAAGCACAAAAACACGAATATGAAAGATCCCATAGATAAAACCAACCTGTAGCTAGAGTAATTTGCGAGAACTAAATGCAGGAATCATCAAGAATAATCTTTACCTGGAGCCCAAGAGCATGTAGAATAATAGCCTCTTATAGGTTTTGGGCCATTATTATACCCACTTTTGGGGGTCTAGGTAGGCTCACCGCCTGCAGGGACGGACGCCGGAGGATGGTCGGAGCCACCGGTGCGCCCTCGTGCTGGGCTTGTGTTTTTCTGGGTAGTTCTCTGACCCTGAGGCTCCATGGACCCAAAAAGTAGGTACTTAGGCCTTAAAGAGGTCCCTATATAGGTACTTTAAGGCCTAAGTACCTACTATATGGGTACATGAGCCTTTGGGTGAATTTGGGTCTTTCAAAAGCACCCTTATAGAAAGGACCCTAAAAGCTGGTAGCAACTACATCACACAAGAGTTTAGACTGGAGGGCTTATGCAGCTTTCGGGTTGATAGTTTATAGGGTCATCGCACCAATCTTCGGGGAGACTGCCAACTTTTGCCTCTAGTCGCTGCTGCGAAGCACCACTGCTGAATAACCCAACTCCTCAAAAGACCCTGAGTCCTATGACAAGCCAAGGCCAGTGTTTCAGGGTTTCAATGAAGGCTTTAAGGTTTCCTTTCATGAGGGACCCTCAGTGCCCCAGGGTGCAGGGAGTCCCGGTGTAGGTGTCTAGCGCTGTAGCGTAGCTCTTGCATATGCAGGGACACTTTCGTTGAATCGCTGCTGTGGGAGCAAGACTACACCCCAACAAAACCACTGCCGGGTACTACTTAGAGGCCCAGGGGACTTAGTAAGTAGGTTATAAGTAGGGTTATAATTGGGGTAACTCTATTTAGGGTACTTATAACCCTACTTATAACCTATACTTACTAAGTCCCCTGGGCCTCTAAGTAGTTTGCATACACCCAGAATCCTGAATCTTCCCATATTCCCACACCTGAATACCCTGCGAAGTACCCGCGAAAAACAACATGTTCAGTTCTGGAGGCCGCTCTACCCAGAGACTCCAATATCCCTTAATTAACGAATATATACCGTAAAGCTTATTAGGGATCCCCTAAACCCTAAACCCTAATAAGCTTTACGGTATATATTCCTTACTTATTAATTAAGGGATATTGGAGTCTCTGGGTATCTGCATCCCATAGTAAGAGAGCCCGAAAGCCACTTGCCTGCGCAGTTCCTGCACTGCGCCTGCAGTCTTCGACTCGTAAGCAGCGACATCGTTTGGGATTCGCACGCATTCAACAGGGATTTTGGTGTCTCAGAGGGTTCTTATAGCGGGTCTAAGGGGGTGCAGGTTTCAGATTCTGAATTTCTGAACTAGGCTGGCCCTGTGAAGCCTTTGAAAAATGTTCCTACATAGTATCCTCTTAAGCCCAAAGAGGGAAAACATAATAACTGTCCCAATGGCCCACCTACTTAAAGGCTCATGGGACTTTTTAAGTAAGGTTATAAGTAGGTCATAACTAGGATAACCCCACTTAGGGGACTTATAACCCCAATTATAACCTACTTATATACTAAGTCCCATGATCCTTCAAGTAGTGAAGGTTCAGGATCCAAGGTTGTTGCTCGAGGGCTTGAGGTTTGAGGATAACCGGCTTCAATGCTAAAAGCGGGTTTTCGCGATGATCGAAGCAAGAAGCTACATTGGGAAGCTTATGGGCGATCATCCTTCCTTCAAACTTGGAGAGCTTAAACAATTAATTGTCAAACTAGCCGGGCTCGCGGACCGCCCCGCGGTTTTGGCAATTGACAGGGATTCTCGGAATGAAGTTGCAAGAAACGGTCCGAACCCGAGGCTCTCAAGCAATGAACAACTCCCACACGAAGATACCCCTGTCAATGGCTCTTTAGGCTGGATTGCGAATGTCACGTGTGCTGCAAAGCTCTTGGGTATCCCTACTTCCCAAGTCCCCGAATCCATTGAATGGACCCGTAAGCCAAGACCCCTTCTAGCAGCCCTTGTTGAGCCAAACAGAACCGCCTGACTTAAAACCCATTACTGAAACCCACCAAGTACTATACGGGGCCTTTCGTCATTACACTAGGCCTTTGGGACCATGTATACTATCGGTATCGTTATGAAAAAGGAACCCCATAATAGTATTGGCCACTATTTAAGCCCCCATAGTCCCGTAAACCCTAAAGCCGAAAACCTACACCCTAAACCCTAAATCCTAAACCCAAAGTAAGTGCAGCATCGGCACTGCTTCAGCTCCCTGAGCTGTTGCTGCACGCGCTCTTGCCTCAAAAATTCCAAAAAAACCCGAATGATCGCGAAAGCCTAAACCCTGAACTCTAAACCCCACACCATAGACCCTGGACCCTAGGCCCTAAACCCTAAATCCTACAATCTAGACTCTAGATTCTTCGATCCTAAACCCTATATCCTACACCCGAAACACGTTTGGAAGCTGACCTTGGAAGGGCCAGGGGGGGGCTTGTGCTCCGGGGTTTCGACTTCCCCAAAAGGCTGGGAGTTAGGATTAGGGGGACCCTCGGGGATATAGACCCTCTCAATAAGGTCCCTTTTAAGAGAGCCAGAAGTAGGGTTCGGAAGAGGTACCCTTTAAGGGGTCTCCCTCATCATGCTACGCAAAGGCTGCTTTTGGTTTAACTGGGATGCAGGGTTTAGGGCGAAGCGAAGCTACGTCGGAGTTCAGGGCGTCAGGGTGCAAGAGTCTGGATTCCCTAAGGGTAAATGTACCCAAATAGTATATACATTGGCCTTAAAGTACTCTCTATCTAAGTACATTGGGCCCAAAGTATATACTACCTTGGTACATGGACCCGTAGGGATTCAGGGCTCGGGATTCGCGCTTCAGGGTGTACTTGGAGGTTCATGGGACTTAGCAACTGCAGTTATAAGTACCTTAACTGGGGATATAACCGATTGTAATTACGTATAGTTACCTTATTGACAGCCCTAGTTACTAAGTACCATGAACCTCTAAGTAGCGTGTGCGCTCTCAGGTTGACGCTTTGGGGGTTGAGCTCAGGAAGCACTGTCTAACAGCCTTCAATGCTCGCAAAACCTGCCGAGGCATGCAGAAGTTAGGTGGATGTTTAGTCTGTGAGTAGCTCGGAATCAGGCTAGTGCGCGGAGGGTTAAAACTTCGGGTTCTGAAATTTTGTCAGGAGTTATGAAACCTTGGCAAGCCTAAGTGCTGAAACAAAAGGATTCCTCTGGAGAACTTCCGAGTGAGCAAGTTGCAGCATCCGCTGCGTCTCTTCCTCGTTGGGTTTCGGGTGAGTGCTTTCCGGCTTTTCGGGTTTAGGGGGCTAGGGTTTGGAGTAGACACATTCATTGGTCGCTGGCGGTACGACAAGTAGGGCCTTACCGTTTCTGAGATTGGAGCCGGGTTTAGATGGACTCGATGAGCATCAGAACTTCAGAATGCTCGTTCCATGTGCGCCACACCGTGATTTTAGAAGCGATTCGAGAAGACGTTTGCCGTAAAGCTGAAAGTCAGTATTGAAACTCTCCCCCCCCCCCGGCATCGGGGTGTTTAGGGTTCAGTTCGGGCTTCAACGTCTCAAAACCAACCTGGCATCTCAAGCCCTAAGTGCCCCGAGCAAGGAAAGGCCGAAGGTTCCGAAGCCCGGCTCCTACCGTGGGAACAGCTCAACCTTACCCTGAGGGTCCAAAGGACCCGATAATTAGGTACTGGGGTTTAGGCGAGTAGTTATGTAGGTGTTTTTGAGAGTAGATGATCGTTAGGACATGGACCCTGAGGGTTATTCCTGCAGTTCCATCTTACCTACACCGGCTCTTGGAGCCCATTGCCAAGGCGGCCTGAATCCGTCCCCTAAACCCAAACCCTGAGCCCGATGGTGTAGTTCCGCCCACATTACCCCAAGCCTTACCTAGAGGGCCCATAGCAGTTCATCCTTGTGGGTTCGGATATAGAATTCTATAGGGTAATCCCAAAAAAGAACTACTTTGGGGCCTATGGGTGAACCCCAAACCTGAAACCGAAAGCAAAGCTATGCCTACAACTCGTGCGGAGCCCCTATGCAACCCGTATAGTAACCAATGTAGTAACACTTACATCCCACCACATTCAATGTAACTCCCCACGCAAACCATAGAACCCTGATAGTAGCGGTTGGATTGGCTAAAATTTTAAAACCCCTAAAAAGGAACCTTGTTCTAACGACCCCTAAACCCCATATAATAGTAACCGTTGTTATAATTGTAGCACCCCCTAAAGGAACCCTGCTCTAACATCCCCTAAACCCATATTATAGCAACCGTTGTTGTACTTTTAGCACCCCCTAAAGGAACCCTGTTGCAACAAACCCCCCCCAACCCCCAAATGCGCCCAAAACCTGCCTGGAGGGCTTGCGGATGCTGCAGCTGCTGTGGAACCAAAGCCAAGGAGGGCACAGAGCTCGGATCCTTATGGTTCTCCTAATGAGGGCCCCTTTGACTATACTGAACTTAGAACCCTAGCCAAAAATATAGTTTTAGCTGTTTCTTAGGGATTATAATAACCAAAAAATAAAAAAAAACAATCTAAGTACCCCTAGGTTGAGGGTCCTAAAATAGTGACCCTTTCCCTCCTACCCTGAAAGGGACCCTATTTTGGAACACTACCCTTCGGAAAGAGGGTTTAGGCATTGACGAAGGGATGAAAGGTATAGGGTTTAACGAGGGATTTAGGGATGTAGAGATTAGGGATTTAGAGATCTTGGGTTTGGGATTTAGGGTTGGGGAATGTAGGGTTTCCGGCTTAGGATTTAGGCTTTGGGAGCTGTAGGGTTTGGGGCACCCATCCTTTGCGAAGTCGCCGGGAGGAGTCTCAAGCTTGCGTTCTGCTTTGGATGCTGTTCCCTATTATGATGTCCTTCATATAAGTCCTAAACAGGTAGGTTCTCTAGGGCTAAGGGACGGTGACACCTTGTGGGTGGTGATGGGCAGCTCGGGGCTTATAGAGTCTATTGGCTTGAGGTTTTGGAAAATGGATGTGTTGCCGGGGATCTTGTTCTTGCCGTATGAAGGCTGGGTCTCAGGGGTTTACCGGTTGGGAGTTTGGGACCATTTCAGGCGCATGCATAAGATTTGGGTTTGGCACTTCGCGGCTTTGATGCTTGGGAGGCCTCGATGAACTGAAGACGAGTGACAGAAGCCCCTAGCCTTTACCCTACTTGCAGAGTTTGCTTGAATGGCCTGGAGCTTCGAATCCTTAAAGCCCATACCCCAAAACCCTAAACCCCTGAACCCTAATCCCTAAGCCCTTAAACCCTAAGCCCTAAACCCTAAACCCTAAGTCCCAAAACCCCTAAACCCTTCTAAGGGGGCTTGAGATCGGGTGCAGCATAAACCCGTGTGCTTCCGAAACGGTTCTGGCTCTACAGCAACTCGGGCTTTAGGGTCCGTCCTCGGGCTGAAGGAAACTGGGGGTTTGAGGCCGGGTTTACGGTTTGGGTTCAGTGTTAAGGAATCAAGGGTTACCCTAAGGGTCCAAGTACTCCCTATTATAGGACTTTGGGGCCGTTTTGGGTACCCAAAACCACAAATCATCAGGACTACTTGGACCCTTTAGGTTAAGGGTTAAGTACTTTCTTGTCTTGGGACACAAACAACGGTCCAGTGCTAGCCTTACATGAAAGTCCGGGACGCCTCTGTAAAGTCCCGGTCGTTCAGACGACCGTGGTCTGCAAGGTCCTCTTCCGTTCCCTACACTAATGGATAGGGTTTAGACTCTTTAGGGAACTTTAGGGTTAACGGTTTGGTTTAGGGATAGGGTTATTAAAACTCTTTAGGCAACTTTTGGGTTGACGGTTTTAGGTTTAGGGTTGGGGTTTAGGCTTGTGGGATTCAAGCGACCCTGCACAGGAAGCACCGGTTTGCGTAAATGGGCCGGGGACATGCAGGGATGAGGCAGCCGATGACTCGCACCGCTTGAACTGGAGGTGTTTGCTACTGCTCAGGTTTGGACTTGAGAGAATTTCCGAATGTTAAGCCTTAACATCCTTCCAGTAGAAGCCCAAAAGTTGGAAACCCAATAGCCTCAATCCTTAAGTGTAATGTTTAGGGAATCCTAGCACTCGGGTTTCCAACTTTATGGGGTTTACTGTAACCTAAACCGAAAGCCGAATGCAGTGAAGCAGTTGGCGCTGAGACAAGATGAGCTTCCCGTCGAAGCAAATGCAAAAGTGGAAAGTCGGAGACCCCCAAAGGCTAAGTACCCTAGCCCAAGAAATGCTAGCCTTTTCAAACATGGTAGGATTACACCCCCCCCCCTCCAACCGAAAAAAAGCTTACCTGCTCCGCTACTGGGCTCCTTGTGTTTGAGCTCGAAACAACTTCCCCGAGGGGTGCAAAGGGTTGATGCAGTTTTCCTTATCGGACTATGTCGAGACTTTCCCTGGCATCCCCCCAGAAAAGCCAATGCCCATTAACTAAGGAATATACCTTAAGTTATAGAGGCCTCATTATTTTAATATGGGGTGTATATGTATATATATGTATATATACACCTTAAGTTATAGAGGCCTCACTATTCTGATATAAGGTCTATTCCTTTATTAAGGGGTATTGGGATCTCTCTGGGCCAAAGGGTTTCGCCAACAGCTTCGGAAGGGCGCTTAAGGGTCCGAACGAGGGGCTCGAAGCGAGCTCGAAGCAGCGAGTTTCGGAGAAGTTCCTAATCGTTCCTCGATTTGGGAGTGTCCGAAAAGTAGGGGATACCCTAGCGTTCCTTTAAAGGGTCACTACCAGAGTTCTATAAAGGGTTTAGGGACCCTACTCAGCTAAAAGGAACTGTCGCTACAACACCTGTGGATGTAGCACAAACAAAGAAAAAGGGTTTAGGGTTTAGAGTTAGAGTTTCCGAAAAGTAGGGGTACCTATTTGGGGGTCCTTATGAACAGGATCCTACTATTTAGGGTACCATATTAGGGTCCCTTATTTCGGAACCCCCCCCCCATTTTGCAGCCCGAGGGAGTAATTGGCAAGTGCCAGTAGGAGACAACAGTGCATACGTGAACATCGCATTGCAATAAGGACGTAATGCCAGTATGTAGCACCGAAAGGTTCTGCTCTAGAGAAACCAAATGTCTCAACAACCGCATACGGAAACTATGATCGGCACCCTAAGCCCTAAACCCCCTAAATCCTAAACCGTAAACCTCCCGGATGAAACAACAAGAACCATAAAAGTCCTGCGAAGCCCTTGTAGAACCGTCAGAGAATTAAATGCCTACGGCGCCTCTCGTGTTTAAGGTTTAGAAAGTCTCCAAGTAGTCCTTATTATGGTTTTCCTGTAGCCGGAAAGACCTACCTTTTTGATTTTTGGGTTCCTTATTATGGTTTCTATATATAAATATATATATGTATATATATATATGTATATATATATATATATGTATATATATATATATATATAGTTCCTTAAAGAAATGGCCCCAAAGTCCTATAATGAGGAGTACTTGACCTCTTAGGGTCTGAAGTCTGAAGTCCCCAAGAAAGATATGGGAGTTTCCGAAAATGGGGGACCCTAATATAGCACCCTAAATAGTAGGATCCTTATTATAAGGACCCCGAAATTAATACCCTAAAAAAAAACCCTAAACCCTATAAATAGTAGGATCCTTATTATAAGGACCCCCCCAAAATTAGGTACCCCTATATTCGGCAACTCCCAAATTGATTCTCTCGAGCCTGGAAGAGGGTGTTGACTCTCGTGGCCGTGGAGAGAATCTGATCTCTGTTGCCTGGTCTAGAATTTTGTTGTTTTTGAGAACGGAAATGCAGAAGACACACAAAAACATCCTTATGGAACCAACACCATGAGAGCCCTTATGGAACCCTAACCCTCCGTAAAGGACAACAAACCAAAACAGTGACACCTGCCCCCCATTGTGGAAGGAACGGATCCCATGATTTCCGCTGAACCCCTGAAGCCCTGAGCACCCATACGGTTGATGATATAAATCCTGCATTACCTTAAGGACCCTAAACTATGGGAATTACCCTATATTCCTTATTATGGGCCATGCAGGATTTATATCATCAACCGCATCTCTCTTCTTCAACAACCGGGCCCCAAAGAGTTCAAACTTTCTAAGATAGAGCTAGTATTTAAGGCCAGAAAGCTTATTAAAGTTGCCCAGTTCACTATCTACGATATAACAATCCTAAACCAATAGAGCCCGGACTTGACTAGAGGCCCTGGTATACAACACGTCCTATGGAACGTCGTCAAAACCTGAAACCCCAAACCCTTAAAAAACCCTGAACCATCCTAAACCTTCAACCCTAAAACCCTAAGCCTTATAAGCCCTAAACCCTAAACCCTAAAACCCTGAAGCCCTAAACCGTAAACCGTAAACCCCTGAAGCCCTGAAACCCCAAACCCTATAAACGCTAAACAACCTCGTATAGAAGCCTCGTGCGCGAGCGAGGAAGCGGCTGCCGGGAAATCCAGGGCTCGGCAGCGACAGCTGCGCTCCAAGCAGCTGCCTTGGATGCTTCAGAATGGGTCTTATAAGGTTTTTAGTAGCTTTTCCAGGGCTCTGAAGGCTTTTTATTATAGGACTAGCGGGAGAACAACCGCAAAAAACTGCATCTGGAAAAGCAACACCAAAGGAAGCATGCTTTGGTTAAATCTTAATGTTTTGGAGATCCACCTTATGGATAATCGACGTTTTCGAAATGTTTCAGAGACTCACCCCGTGTCGTCCAAGCGGCAGGCCCGACCAAAGCTCGGGCGCCTGGAGCGACTCGAACCCAGAGCTCGGCAACAGCCTTGGGCGCATTCATTGGGTTCCTTTGAGGGTGGTAAGCTTAAGGGTTTAGGGTTTAGGGCTTTAGGGTTTAGGGTACCGGTTTCAGGGTCGGGGGCTTTCTGATTTATGCCTTGATGGCTCGCTTCAGGGCACTTTGGTGGGCCACCGGGCTTCCCAATAACCAGGTACTTCGGTGGCTACTTGGGTTTAGGATAGTAGTGATGTAGCTCCAAGTTGCTATGGAGCAGATTACATGTTCGTAGTTGGACCAATTGGACCGTTAGGGCCTTATTTGGGGGGTCGTGGGACTAAGTAAGTAGTTAGTAAGTAGACTTGTAAGTACCCTAAAAAGCACCCTAATTGGGGTTATGGTACTTATAAATTCCTAAAATAACCAGTTACTAAGTCCCCCGACCCTCCAAGTAGGGTTGGCCGTAGAAGTCCAGAGTCTGGAATCCGCTTGAGGGCCACGCTAGGGCAACCCTCATCCCGTGGTAGAGCCGGGGAGGGGGGGAGGAGCTGTGCAAAGCGGAAACAAAACTATACGAGTCAACCCCTAAACCCTTAAGGCCTGGCAGGGGTATACCCTAGAACCCAAAACCCCCAAAGATAGAACCCTTGTATCCCAAATTGTAGAGCTTTGAAGTGTTGGGTTTTGCACATAAGGCGAGTCCTGCTCAAACAGCCGGCCGCTCAGAGCTGGAATAACCCATGTAGCAACCGTGACAATACTGATTGCGAATGGGGTTTGGGGTTATTGGAAGCCTTATGGAACCTCTGCAATGTCTGAATAACCAGTACATCCCTTCATAGTTCCCATGCTAATCAAGTCGATATACCTCAACACCCGAGTCTTATAGCCTAACATCCCCCTCACCATAAGCCTAAGGCCTAAGCGTGACAAGTTATGCGTTCAGGCCTGAGAATTCAGTTCAAACATTGGCTGCTTCAGAAGTATCGGTCAGATGGCCTGTTCGTGAATACTGGAACTGGTCAGCTAGTTATTTCATCGGATTATCCAGCAGCAGTGCCGTGATCGCTAGTAATTACTTGGTATAGTCATTGGTATAGATAGATACCAGCAACGGGAGAGGGGTAGAGACACAGGGAGGGAGGCAGCGGAGAGAGACAGCAGAGAAAGAGACAGAGAGCGTATGTGTGTGTGTGTGTGGGTGTGTGCGTTGCAAACAGGGTGAGGAATGACTGAAAACAAGGCAAGAGGCAGAAGCATAGAACCAGACCCATTCGGCACGCCCTGGTGCTCGAGGAGACGCCTCCGCAGAAACTGAGTTGGTCTATAGCGGACCCCCAAAATATTGGAAACCGGATTAAGGACAAGTAGTGCTGGGATTCCCTATACATCACTCTTAGGGACGGAGGCTATTGGGCTTTCCAACTTTTTGGCTTCTACGGCCCTCCTTCCGCAATTCCCAAACTCGTAAACTTTGCCCTGAACTCTAAGCCCTTCAACTTTCGTATGTACCCATGATGAACTTCAGCAGCGCCCTCTTCGAGACGCCTCTGGTCCAGCATTTAGCTGTTCTTGTCAACCTTCAAAGGTCTTGAACCCGAAATCCCAAGCCCAGCAGCCTAGCCAAAACCCTTAAAACTAAAACCGGGCCACTCCTGAACCACAATCTCTCACAAACGAAACCAGGACGACACTGTCTCTCCTGTCCGAAGGCCCTACACCCTTAACCCCTGCTCCGTCGAACTCCGCTTCGTCGAAAGAATAATGAGGATCCTCCTAACAAATCATGGGGCTGGCCTTGCTAGAAACTTCCAGTGTTATGATGAACAGCCTCAGTTGGAAGAGTTATATATATATAGAGACAGAGAGAAGCGTACAGTTACACATACATCCATGCATGTGTATCTTGCAACTATACAAGTTTCAACAAGTGTGAATATCAATGTAGATTTATGAGAAACATAATCAACTATCTGCCTGGCTAGCCAAAAAAAATAACCATATATATATATATATGTATACACATACATACATACATACATAAATACATACATACATACATACATACATACGTATATACATACATACATATGTGTGCATGTGTGTGGTGCAACCCTCAAGAAAACGATCACACCATACAAGCACCATTATCATAACACATTTGTGCAGGCCCCCCCAACCCAACACCCTCAAATGAAGGCAAAAGGCTCGATGATGGCCCTGACAGCTTGGCGTTTCTGCCACATCGTGCCGCGGATGGTCACCACCTCCTGGAAGTATGTTTTGGTGCAGGGTTTGGGGTTAGCCACAGGGACTCCTAGAGGGGTACGGGGGGCGGGGGACCTGTAAACAGCAATCACACACACACACACACTTGATTACAAAACACACACCAACACAGATAATACAAAGACGAGGACAATCACAACATTCCAAAGATGCAACCAAAACCAACGAACCACCTCCCCAAAAGATAAACAAACGCCGCTAACCCTAAACAAAAACAACAAAACACCTCCCCAAAAGAGAAACACATGCCGCTAAACCCTAAACCCTATACGCCCTAAAACCCATTCCCCAAAAGAGCAGCAAACGCCGGAACCGCCTGGGGCTCGCCGAAATCTCCATCTGGCGCAGCAGCCCGTGGACAGCGCTCCAGGAGGATGTGAACTCCCACATCCTTTCTAACCCAAAGGGTCCAAAGTACCGATATAGTAGAATGTAGCGTTTCTATATATTAGGAATTACTATTATGATTTGGGGAAGAATCCCCCATAACAGTACATAGGAGCCTTTGGGTAAGGGCTTGTCGGGTTTATAGTGTGTCTAAGGTCGCTTATAAGGTTTATAGGGTGTTTAGGGCTTAAAGGGTTTACGTTCAAGGGTCGGGTTTTAGGGGCTCAGGGTCTATGGGGTTTAGAGTCGGGTATTGAATGAGGGCTTTACAGGACTGTAGGAGGGAATTCCCATGTGCCGGAATAAGGGGTTTGGGATGGGCTCGGGTATTTTTCGGCTCGGCTTTGGGGGTCAGGGCTTTTCGGGCTACATAGGCTTCGGGATCAAGGGGTTTAGGAATTTAGGATAGTTTAGGCTCGAAGGTTTAGAGGGGGTATGTTCGAGGCTTTAGGGGTTTACCCCACATGGTTCACGCAACGACGCATGCTGTATAGGTTTGCCAACTTCAAGGTTTCAGGTGTCGGAGCCCTTTTCTATAACAGAAATCGGATCATTCTTCCAGCGGCTTGAGCTGAGCTGGAGGGTTTAGGATTCTGAGAAGCAGAGGAAGCACCGACCCAACAGACTCTAGGCCTACATGGGTTCAGGCTTTAGGGTTTATAGGGCTTTATATAATGATTAGACTATAGGGTTGTGGGGTATATTATCCTACAAGTATAATAAGGAACCCTGCAAATAATGTTGGTATTTATTTAGACTTCTATATTAAATCTCAAACTCAAGATCGTAAATTCCTCCTACGCTGGGCTTTAAACCCTATGAAACTCAATCTCCCCTTCTAGTCCCTACGTATCGCAATCAGAAAAATAAATTCTACCGAAACTCCCCTCTGAGTTGTAAGCGCCGAACTCTACCGCAACAGAGGGGGAGAGTTCCGTACACCCTATCTAAACTTAACAGTCTGTCAGGAGGAATCCTGGTGAGGCAAACGGCAGAGGGCTGCAACTGCAATCCCTCACACCGTAGGTTCACCAGTATCCCCTAATAGCAAAGCTTTGGGTGTAGGTTTTTCTTGGTAAGGGTACCTTCGATTCTAGTTGTTCAGTTTGTTGAAGAACACGGGATCGAAGAGGGTGTGAAGGGGGATCGCTGCCCCAAACCCTAAACCCTAACTCGACCTTCACCCCTTCATTCGGCTCCTCCTGTGCACGCTGCAGGAGATCTTGCCTTGCTCTGGGGCTTCTAGAATTTGGGGCTTAGGGTTTGGGGTTTTCGGTGCCCTTTCGGGTTTGGAGCGTAGGGTTGAAGGGTCTTGGGTTTCAACTGAGGGTAGGAAATCCGGACAGCCCAATACGACTAAAGCAAGGAGCACGCCGTCCCTCAAATCATGGTGTTTTCTAGTGTCAGTTTCATATTGGCAGGTTGGCGAGCTCCTTACTACATATTATGGCATGTGCACATAGAAAAAACAATTGTACATGTAAATATGAATATATGTATACATATAATGAATAAACATGTGCAAAAACATGAAAAACAATTATATAAGTAACCTATATACATAATCTATGGGTATACAATGCATATAAACATCAATATGTCGTGGGACCCAACGGCATGATTTATCAGCCTTTCCTCACCGGGTATGCTACACTACACCTGCTGTCGATTTCGGTTTGGAAGCCCTAAACCTAGTTGCTGAGTACATAAGCCCCAAGAAGTGCAAAGTGTGTCCACTCAGCTACTACCCAGAGGCCCCATGGCAGTTCTTTTTTGGGATTACCTTATAGAATTCTTTATTCGGACCCCAAGCATAAAGGAACTACTTTGGGGCCTTGGGGTAAGTAAACCTTCAACTCCAACAGCATGAGGATCTTTGGGGCTCCTTGGCGCAGACTGTGTAACATGCCATGACATGGCTGGTTGTCAAAATTATGGTCTTATTTTTGGGTCCCTAATATAGTACGGCACCTGATATTTAGGGTCCCTAATATAGTACGGCACATTAATATTTAGGGTACCCAAAAATGGCAATAATTTTGACAACCATCCACATGGGTTCACAACTGTTGGGTTTAGGCTTGAGGGCTTAGTGTCAACAAGGCTCTACGATACTACACCCGAGTACTAGCTCAGCTGTTGGGGCCAGGTCTCTTTACTCTTGCTTTGCGTTGGCTAGACCCTGAGCTGTAATGTTTGCCCTGCACCCCAAAACCTAAACCCTAAACCCTACACCCAAACGGCTCAGAGAAAGGTTCAGGGCAGGCTTTGGGGCTTCTCTCTTAAAGCGGTTCCAGCTCTGGGATTCAAACTCTGAAACTCGGACCGTTAGGGGTGAGCCGATTCTTAGCTTGGAATTCAATGCAGTGCTGAACGTAACAACCTGGCAGACCCTCAGATCCGTCGCCCAGGAAACCTCCCAGAAAGCCCTGCCGAAAAACGAAGCAGAACTCGGTGAATGCCTGACCCTGCAAGCCTGCGAATCAACAACCCCACCAACCCACAAGACTTTGTACAGGCCCTGTGTGTTGAGTGGGCCCCCTCCCCAAAATCTCTAAGCATACAATAAGAACTACGTTGGTTCTACAGTTTGTAAGTAGGTACGCCGGGCACGGCGCCTTGGTTTTGTGCAGGGCTTAAATTCTCCCACCAGTGCTGTCTCTTAATGTCTGCAACAAATCCAGCACGCCGCTCCTTGCAGGACAGGATACACTCCTGCTGAGTTTTCTGCAAAATCCAACGCAAACCTATCACCATAAGCACATCCTTGTGGGATGCCCCGCCTGTTACAACCTATTCAGCGCCATGCTAAGGGTATCTTGGGGGTAATATGGTACATCCCGAAAATCTGCAAGCGTGAACCCTAAACATCACACTCAAAAAGGGGCGTGCATAATCACCAACACTCAATACTACTCCTTAGGGCCTTCGGGATAGACTTTATAAAAAAAGAGCTCAGATGCCCATTTGTTGAGGCCTCTACATTAATTTGTACTCCCAAGGCTCGCCGTTCTTAAATGTGCAGCCCAGGGGCGGGTCAGTCAGTGCTGCCCTTGCACCGCCCTGTCAGGGACACAGCGACTTTGATTTACGTCAGGCTGGGGCCTTGGTCCCTAGGTTTAGGTGCTAGCTTTTTGTGGGTTTTAGGTTCAGGGTGTGGAGTCCAGGACTAGGATTCAGCGTTGCAGGTTCAGCGCTTATACAGAGGATCCAGAACTCGCATAATGGACGCTAAACGAAGCGCCACCCAAACGCTTCAATATGCCAATATGTTACACTACATCTCAGCCTATGTAGACAGGGAGAAACCATGATACCCGCTAGTCCAAGGGGCTGCAGCCCTACCTATCGATTTATCCACCTATCTGTCTGTGAGTCTATCCCTCTGAGTGTCTCTCTGTCTCTCTATCTACATATCTCGATTTATCCATCAACCTATGTATTTCTCGATCTAACTAACAACCCTTAACTGTGCAAGTATACCCTACACCCTACGAAAACCGTAAACCAATGACTGTACATAGATTCCAAACCTGTAAGGCCCCATGCGCAACACGCTACACCCCTATCCAACTTTCTACCAATCTGTCCGATCTACACTGACCTCATCTAAGCCAAGCTAGCTTATCCAAACCGACCTACTTACATTTATGTAATCAATATACAAACCCCCAAACCCTACGGGTCCATGTACTCATATAGATATCCCTACATAGGTACTTTGGGGCCCATGTATCTCTATATGGGCACATGGAGCCTTAGGGCAAACCGAAACACCTGCTGTCATATACAAAACCCCCAAACCAAAACACTCGGAGGCCTCAAAAGGTGGGACGAAGGTAGGTAGGATTAAGGATCCCTTATATAAGGACTCTTATTTGGGAATATCCCACCTACCTTCATCCCACCTTTGAGGCCTCTGAAACACCTGCAGTCAAACCTCCAGGGCCAGGCGCCAGGGCACTAGAACCGGCTCAGACGCGTGGCGCGCCATCGCCCAAGGCGTTCCGAAAGGCCCCGGGGTTTAGGGCTTAAAGGCCGAGGGAGGAGCTTTAGAAGGCTCTTATAAGGCTGGATTTGTTCATACTTTCCTTTGGGGGGTTGTGGGTTTTTGTATGATTGTTTTTTCGCGGGCTTTGCGGGGGTTGCTGGGAATTCGCAGCCGCAAAGGAGTCTCTTATCTGGCTGTCAGGGTCTATATTATGCGCAACTTGCTGGGCTGGGGATCGACGACTGATCAGAACGATCCGTGGATTCACATGGAGCGAGAGCTGATACTTGGGGATGTCCGCGGGATTTCGGCGAATTCCTTCCGATGAGGATTGCACAGTGGCACATGGCGTGATGATGGGTCATATCTTGAGCCTACTGCAGACTTCGGTACCCCTGCTCATGACTTGAGCTAGTGGTACAGTAAGTCATGAATACCGTTTGCCTATACTGATGGAATAAACAAGATCCTCTTCAGCCCAACAAGGATGAATACATACTATTCTCAAAGCCTACAGTAAACCCCATAAAGTGGGAAATCGGATTAAGGCCAAAAAGTGCGGGGATTACCTATACATTAACCTTAAGGATTGAGGCTATGGGGTTTCCAACTTCTGGGCTTCTACTGTAATTACCTGGTCTTGGGCTTTGATCTGATGTATCAGAGGGCTCTGGCTGCAGAAGTGTATGCTGTCAGGCATTTTTGTAGTTTGAGGTTCGGCGTGAGCTTCGAGGTTTAGGGCTGCGTTCCAAATACTAAGGAGGTCTCTGCTTCGTTTCGGAGGGATTTACAGTCAGGATCCGGCTGACGGTCTCTCTCTATTCGATGCCCTCTGCGTCTTGGACCTTAAACCCTAAACATCACTTCATGCAGCAAGATTCTCGAAGCCGAGGCCTCGTGACTCGCCCCCCAAAAGAACGAATTGTAACTGCAACTCGTAGCCCCATCATGCACTCTACCCTGAGCCCTAAACCCCTAAACCCTAACCACTCTGCACTGCTGCAAGAGCATGCAGGAGCTTTGAAGCAGATGCCTTCACGATTACTTAAAGGTTCATGGGTAATTAGCTAGTTGTAAGTGAGCTATAAGTAGAGTAACCAAACTTGTAACCCATAATAGCGGCCCATGATGAACCTCCAAGTGGATTCTCGATTCTGGTCTTTGGCGTCGTGGACCCGACCCAAACCCGACCAAATAATAGCCCTTAAAGCGCAACCCGCAACCTTGGTACTTACAACAACTGGGGCACCTAATGTAGGGGCCTTAATAAGTAGAACAGGCTTTTCGGGATATCATGCACAAGGAGCCCCTTACATGGTACAGGTAATCATTATGAGGCCCTATAGCTATGGTTCTTGGCTAAATGCTGGGATCAAAGCTTGTAAGGGCTTAAGGCATGGCTTCCCTGCATCCCCAATACCCTACGGAATACTTGGCTCTGATGCCTTCCGTGAAACTAACGGGTGTTTTTTGGGCCCAAAGCTAGGGATCAAGATGTGCGGTTTGCCTACGTGTTTGGGCGGTGGGGGGCGGCGAGATATAGACAATCAGGGAACACCAAGGAACAATCCTCTTGATTATTCAGGCCTACATAGCGGTCCAAAGCTTGGGACACAACCGGCTTTGAAAAACAAACAAACAAACTAGGATGCCCAGTAACCTAGGAATTAAAAAGGGCTCCCTTTTTGGTAGTGGCTAACTTAACAAGGAACCTAAGACTACAAAAAAGGAATAAGGGTACTACTGGGCATCCGAGCAAAGTATCAAATCCTAGCCAGCACTGAAACCAGATCGGATTGGTGAGGCTTCCTCGGGAGCTCTGCCGTCTGTGGCAGAAGTAGCTGCCTGATGCGCGAAGAGCTGCTTGGCACAAGGCGGTTGTGGAACAAGCTGTTCCATGTTACGTCTTCGTTTGAGGTATGTATCCCCTGCGGCCTGATAACCCAAACCGCCGAAAAACTGCACCCCCAGCGATACTCCGACTCAGCCCTAAACCCCAAACCGTAAAGACCCTAACCCCAAGCTACCCGAGAAGGTTCAGGGGTTTAAATTAGGGTTTAGGGTTTGGGATTCGGGCTTGGAATACAGGATTAGGCAGCTGCTTCTACAGTCCACGTCGACTGCCAAATCCAGCCTTATGCTTCCGCCAGCACTCGATATTGGCCTACACCGACAAATTCTATAGAAGTAATCACAAAATCAATCAATTAGGCCATTTCGGAGCACTGAGATACCTGATTGAGGTTTAAGTTAGTTGTCGTGGTTCCGGGCCAGCATCTCGCGATTTATACATGTGTGACAAGTGTATGTGCGTACGCATGTTGTCATGTATTTGTGTGTGTATGCATGCATGTATGTATCTACGCCTGTATCGGATGGCTGCAGGGAGGGAGGGATGGACAACATGTGAACCGTGCAGTAGCGCAAACCGGAACCTTTGTAATTACTTCTGACACACGAGCAATGAATGTACTTACATACCATACAGAATCGTCGAACATGTGAGCTCTTCGTAGAGTCCTGTGCGGCCCTGCCACGTCTGAGAATCTTGCCACATTCCATGCGCCATTGGCAGGTCCGAAGCCTGAATGCATGGGGTCCCATCCACCCGATAGTCCGTCCGTTCCGTCACAGACTCCACGCTGGGTCCCACGCATGCGCTTGCCATCAAAACCATCAATGCATGCCCGAACCCGAAGAAGGCTCCAGTGCACAACGTGAACGATTGCTGCGCGCCGGCACGCCGACACTGCGGCGGCGGGTGCTGCGGTTGTCCTCATCCCGGGTCAGTAGGCCCTTGGGCGAGTCTGCAACGTCGGATGCCAAGGCGATTTCCACGCACCTTGCAAGCATCTCGGTGCATGTCCAGACCTTGGCTAGTAACACCCGCTTCCATGGCTTCGATGGCCATGCAGATGCTGCGTCTCCTCGAGTCTCTGCGTGCAGCGTCGTCAAGGTGGAAGGATGGACGGACTGGCGGACGGATGGGTTGCGCGTGTGTGCGTGCGCGTGCGCGTGCATTCATGTGAAAAAGTCCTTCACCTGGGTACGAGCATACGAAGATCATGCTAAGACCCATGAAAGACTGCCTGGATACTACCGCATCCGATACGAAAGGAACACACCCAAAACCAAAGCCTAACCGTAACCCTTATAAGGGTCCATGCACTCATATGGTTTCTACCTTGGCCGTAAAGTACTTCCTATATAGGTACATTGGCCCAAAGTGTATAGTACTTGGGCACATGGGCCCCTAGGGAACCTTTCAATGACCCTGCCACTTTGCGATGCCTTGAGGACCCCGAAGTGGCGCAGAAAGTCCTGCACGATCCGAGAACCCGCAGAGTTCTAGTAGTGGTGGTGTGCTGGAAAAGTTGGAAACCCAATAGCCACCTAAAACCTTAAGAGTAATGTTTTTGGAATCCCCGCACGGTTTGGCCTTAATCCGGCTTCCAACTGTATGGGGTTTACTGTAATGGGACTGGGCTGCAAAAGCCTTATGTGTTGGCCTGAAGTGAAACCTGAACCCCAAACAACCTACCCCTGAACTTATGTACTTCTGTAAGGAAGATATACTCAAGATCTCAAGACATGTCGGTAATGGCGCAGAACATTTCAGAGTTTCGGCTGTCGGTCTGCATTGCAGGATGCCGGGACCACAAGCAGGCTCCAGTCGAAGGATCATCAGCGTATGGCATGTTCCCGGTTACAACATCAAACCGGAGATTCTGACCTTAAACCAGATAGCCGGGACCGGAACCGCTTGGTGGAGACCAATTTGCATAATTGAGGCGGGCAGTCAGGAGACAGAGAGAGAGAGAGAGAGAGAGAGGGAGGACAAAAACACACACACACACACACACGACACATCGGCCTATCCGTACCTAAACAGTAAGCCTGAACCGAATGTGAACTCTAGACTCTAGCCTGTACACCCGTGAACCTCAGGGCGCCCAAAGTCTGACCACCCTGCAGTCAGAAGCACAGCCAACGAGAACCACGACACCTTCAGCCGAAACCCGTATATAAATCCTACACCACATGCCTCAAACCATAAACCCTGCAACCCGAGGCCAGCCTAGCACTCTATGTAACCCAACACATTCCGAGAAAAGCCGCTATACTGCAGCCACTTATAGAACTCTAAGCATTGAACACCTTGCATGCAAACCCCAGAATACCCGACGGGACCCTATGAACTTTATTGGCCCCGAAACCCTCAACCCGACGCCTAAACTAGGCCGAGAAGTAACCAGGGAGAAAAAAGTATAGATTTGTATTCCATGTTTGTTCCTTTAAGAAACAGGTACCCGAAAAAAAGTATTCAAGTATGGTACTCCAAACACAGGTAAACACTGGATCCCAAGCAGGGATGCCTCCAGAGCAGGGTAAGCCTCGGATCCACGATTTCACTCGGAGCGGTGTTGTCGCCCGAAACAGAGGAGGGCTTAGGGGGTTTAGTGTCTGGGGTCTGAGGCCTGGCAAAGGTCGTATCATCAACGCGGCATAGGGCATCATAAGTTTTAAAGGGAATTCCAGAAGGGATCCTACAAGGGGCAAAAGAAGGATTTTTAAACGAGTTTTCAATGGTATCTAAAAAATTTTTGATGCAAAGTCCAAGGTGCCTGATGAACATGCGCACAACAGTCGCAGGGTAATCTCCGGGTAACTGTCACATGATTGTCGAGGTACTTGATGGTACGTGGGGAAGGGGTTCTGATATCGACTTTGGAGAGATCACCGGCAACAAATATGTAATATGGCTCCAGAGAGAATGGTTTCTGAGGGTTATAGCGATGTATGAGAAACTTTCCGAAAAATTTAGACCATACCCCAAACCCGAAACCGCTCTAAACGATGCTTGCTAGCCGTGTTACAGTATGATTTGTATCCAAGGCTTCGAAGGCATGAGATGCTTGTGCAAGTAACTGCTGCGGTCCTATGAGCCCATGAAAGTGTTTAAGTTTAGGCAACAGTTTAGGGGCTAGGGATTGGGGCGATGA